TATTAGTCTATGCATTACTTAGCTCCAGCTGGTGTTGCTTAAAGTTTGTAACCCCCTAGGTTAGTCAAAGTCATCAGTCATTTCTTTTGGTCACTTACTAAATTAACATAGAAAACGTTTAAATTTTCTTGTGTTTAGATATTTGGCTTGTAGTATTAATGTAAAGGAAACTTCCCCAAAAGTTAAATGGATCATTGCCCTGGTTTAAAATGGCATGATATAATAAGACCCTATGAATAAATACTGTATTGAAGAAATAACTTTCTAATTCAGCATCCTATATCATAAGTAGTGGGTTTCAGGTGAGTGAGCTAGGGTCATCATGGCCCACTTCCTTTTCTATTTTTGATATTGTTACTTATAGTACCTTGTTTATGTAATTGAATAAAAAAATTTGAGGCTATTTATTGGCTTTTTGTCTTATGTTAAATTTGTACATCCTAGTAGTATTATGTCACTGATTACGTTTAACTGAACAGGGCTTAATAAGATTGCCCTCTGTCTATCTATCCATTGTCTGCAAAATCTGGATCCAAAAGTGCCAGAAGTATTTTTTATGAAACTTGAAATATGGATAGATTGCAGTATGCAGATTATGCATGTCTTTCTTTTCTTCCTATTTGAAAAATCTTAATTGAAATATAGCTAAAATATCATTATATTGTGATAACTCAAAAAGTACTGAAAAAATTATTATGAAATCAACTTGAAATAAGAATAGATGACATTATGGAGATTATGCATAAATTTTTCTTCCCATGTTGAAAAATCTGGTTGCTATGACAACAAATAGACTTGAAATATGACAAATTTAGCAATTTATTGTGATAACTAAAAAAGCACTGAAAATTTTTTTTTGAAACTTGAAATACGGATAGATGGCAATATGAAGATTATGCACATCATTTTTATTTGGACTAGTATATTTATTGTATTGGGAGACCTTGTCATCCAGGTGCTGATGGCTATGTCACACTATTGGTTAAATTTTCCGTATCACCTCACTTATTTCCTGTACTCTTGGAGGTATTGCTTTGAAACTTAAGGTACAAGTGGGTGACCATCATTCCCACTTTTAAACAAGAGGACAAAACTCTGTCAAGGATTTTGACAAAATTGTACCCAGTTTTCGACTTTCTTATATGTTTTTGTACCACCCCACAGGCCAACCCTTTTGAGTTATATTGCTTGGAAATTTTAAATACTTGTTAGTTATCATCATCCCCACTTCCAGGCAAGTACTTTAATAGTCAAGTGAGTGGACTTACGCACAACTCTTCTCTTTTTTTGTTCAAAATGACAACAAATGGACTTAACTATTGCAAAATTAGCAATACATTGTATATTTTGACAGTCTGTTCATCTTTCTGCAAGAATTGGATGTTGTTAATAGTTTAAGCTTCCTTGATAGGGTGTATGGTGCCAAAAAAATTTAAATATTGCTGACCATTCTCTATCACATGTGTGAAGAAGCGATATGTTTCCCTCATTTGCATTCTTGAGACAAAGCTTTGGAATACCCAAAAACATACACAAGCTACCACTGTGATATCTTAACTAAACATTCTTATGCCCATATTTTATTCACTTAAATGACATATACATGTAGCATGTTGATCTGTGATCGTTTATGAAAGATTCAATAAAAGTTTAACTTTATTACAAGCAATAATTTCCTTCATGAAGGCCAATGATTAGAAATAAACATATAAATCATAAGGCTACTTTTAAGCTTTACTGGTGGAGGAAGACCTCGGGGTGCCCCTCCATGCATTAATTCAGACACGAACAACCACCTGAGTAGAAGAACTGACATTCTGTAAGCTAGCTGGATAGCTTCCTCACATGGAAGAACTCAAAGTCCCTTGCGTGATTCAAACCCACAGCGGTGAGTGGCAAGTGGTTTTAATCTAACAACTTTAAACACAGGTGCCCCCTTTTCTGTGCTTACATACATGTCAAACTAGTCACTGCACTACACATTTATGAGGCACTAATATTGTTTTACGGTTCATAATGATAATATAATCAAAATATCTAATCTAAAAAATGTGACTGCAAACTTTAAGTAGTACAAAGTATTTCACAATTTTTCTATTTATTGCATGGAGTATTGCAATCACTTCAAAGTGAAAAATAAACAAGAAGGTTGATATATAATTATAATTGTATTTTATTCTGTTGTTCTTTTTAATTCAATATTTGATAGTGAGAAATTTACAATCATTATTGAATAAAAGAGAAAAAATATATTTCATAGTACCATCACTATGACAGGAAATATATTTTTTGTAATCACATAATTACCTTACATATATACATTTATATTATACTGTATATTCTATGATATAATATTACAGAAACTCCCTCATTTATGCAAACAAAGTATCAAAAAATCTACCTTACTTTATCTGACATCAACCATTTAGCTCTGTCAGGAAAAGAAAAAAGCTCATTTGTACCTCCAAGCACAAAGGCAGAAGTGGACATGTACAAAAGAAAATGAAAATCTTCAACCTAAAAGAATTAAAACTAAAGATAAATAGGTACACTATTTAACAAAAGTGCCAATTTTTTCTAGAAACAAAACAAATGAGCCACGTCACGACAAAACCAACATAATGGGTTTGCGACCAGCATGGATCCAGACCAGCCTGCGCATCCGCGCAGTCTGATCAGGATCCATGCTGTTCGCTTACCAACTCTCTTACAAGTAGAGAAACTGATAGCGAACAGCATGGATCCTGATCAGACTGCGCGGATGTGCGCGCTGGTCTGGATCCATGCTGGTCGCAAACGCACTATGTTGGTTTTGTCATGACGCGGCTCAAATTACTTTTAAATCCCACTGATACGATAATACCTTAGTTATCTAGCTTGACTTCAGGTATCTAGTTGTTTTTTGAAGAATGCCTCTGGCTTAGATGAATGATCTTACTTAGCAACAAAGTACATAAAGTGTACATTTTGAGTGTTTGCAGAAAGTTGATAATGCTGCATGCCTAGTACATTGTAGTATTTTCTATATTAATCTTTGAAAGTTAGTTACCCCTACTTTGAAGTTAATGGCATGAGTTATATATCATTTTGTGTTTTGCAGCATACCAAATATCTGCATATGAATTGTAACTAAACAGATTTGTCTAATTTTATCTATGAAAAATACCTGTATAATTTTATGTACTCGTATTCTTTTTTTCCAGTTTAATAAAATGACAATGTATTTGAGACAGTAAAGGACAATGTATTTGAGACAGTAAAGTGCAAAACTTGTGCCTGTTATGCTGAAAACATCAAGTTAAAACTGTTTCCATAAAGCATCTCATCAGTCCTTTATTGACTTCCATTGTGGTATAGTATCACATATCAACATTTTTATTTTATTTTGTCCAATATTATAATGATGTGTCTGTTATAGTAATATAGGTGCCTTTTTACAACAGTAATTAAATGACACTCTTGTTTCTGAGTGGAGGATTATTATTATTGGTAAACATCAAGTTGGCGAAGTGCTAAATTTCCCTTTCAAAGATTATTTTACAATAAAGTGACTTGTTTATTACTATTTGAATGATGTTGGCAATAGTGTATTATATTAGATGACACTAAAGCTCTAAAATAATAGTGCCTGCATGTATTTGACAAAGCTGAGGTGGTATCAGATATTGTCTGGAGAAAAATGTGACAGACTCTCACAATTGTGGCAACATTAAATACCTTGTCATGTTTTACATAATTGAGCAGAAGGTTAAACATGTAATAAAAGGAATGTAGTAAGATATATGAAAGACAAAATGTAATAATATAGTGAAATCTTGATGAATAATATTGTATAGTTTACAACAGTGAAAAAAAACAACACTTATCAGCAGTTATTGGCCATGTATGGATCAAATAGATAATCAGATCACATTCTTATCATGTCCATCTATTTACATTATGATAATCAAAATATATACAAACCATACATTTGCATAAAACATAATACAATATATAATTATAATTTGCTGAACAAGTATAATATTCACTTTTATTATATGATCTAAATATAGCTGCAATCTCATTGGTCCAAACAGTAGTCAACAGAACTTTTTATAAACTCATATTCACTGGGTGTAGTATCATATTAACTGGCTGAATTGGATTTTCCCAGTCTAAAAATAGATTGAGACTCATATTCAATGATCATACACCGTAGACTGTTAATTACACGAGTTAATTAAAAAAATAAGTGTCGCTTTTTGTTCTTTATGGCATATTTCTCGATTAAAATATCATTACTTGACTATTATACTTAAAGGCTACACCGCAATGATGAGTATAAACTTGAATTATTTTTGTATGCGCAGCGTTCGCGTACTAGTTGTTGCACGCCTAACACGTGCGCTTCAACGAGGTAAAATTTGTACATGTATATTATGTTGTACATTTGTGATTTTTTAAAAATTTCTTAGCATATTCATATAATAAAACAATTATTGACTCGTGAGCCATTGAATATGATGTGATATTCACCGGCAGAAAGTCATATTGACCTCGGCTATCGCCTCGGTCAATATGTCATCTGCCGGTGAATATCACATCATATTCAATGGGTCACGAGTCAATAATTGTATAATATTGTACAGTGATAACAAATTTTACTTTAACAGTGTTGTAATGTTAAAAACAATTCTCTATAAAAGTTAACAGCAAAAGCTTGAAAAAATCACTTTCTATGATCAAAATATTACTTACAAAAAGAAAATGAGATTCTAAAATAGCTATAAGAGAGTGATCAAATTCATTACAGGGGAATAATTTAATGAACCAGTAGAACCAGTGTTCTGAAAGTAATCATATATGATGTGATTATCTTGTAATGAAATACAAATAGCATGATTTTACGGTATATTGTCAGAGATTTTTACTCCACTAGCTGTAATTATAAAGTCATTATTTTATTTCAGAAATTACATTGGCTTTGATGATCCTCATTTACTTATTAATACATTCCAGCAGAGTTTCAACACAAGCTAACAACCAGTTTTAACATCTGGATTAATACTGAATGATAAGACTTACCAATGTGATTTCAACAATTTTTTTGTCATGGTATAATTGAAGTACATTATAGCTTGTTCATAATTTTACATTATTTTAAAGAAACTACATAATGTTTCCTTTAACTTTCAGTGCTAGAAACGACAGCATAAAAACACAGGTACGAGGGATGATCCAAAATAATGCAGAGTTTACCATTGCTTAGAAACAGGCAGTTTAAGTAAAGTAAACTATGTATTGAAATAAATCGGAACATTTAATTACAAGTACTAGTAATAGAAAAATAATACTTTAATCATCTTTAGCGTTTATTTTAATATTTTTACGAGATAATGGCAGAACTTTATGATTTCACAAATTTTCACCAGTCTTACAACACCATTTCCAAACTAGAAACACTGGTAACACCACAATATAAATGTTTGTTTTTTTTATAATTGCAACATTCAGATCACGTCAAACTTTGAAATAATAGCATCCACATATCAAACTGTGATGTTACGTTTGGCGCTTTTCTCATGTGTATTTTATTTGTTTTGAGACTCTTGTTACCAAACATCATCGTCATGTGTCCCAAAATTGGTGTGTGCTACATACGGATTAATATGGTTATAGAATTGCCTATGATACTTGGAATTTTTACCAAAAATATTATTTTTCTGTCTTATCATAATATTCATATGTTATTGTAATAAATTTAAACCACCTGTTTCTAAGCAACAGTAAAAGTCTACATTATTTTCGATCATCACTTGTTGATGCATACTTTTATGCAAGATCTAATTTAAAGGTGCTAATGAAGTTTTCATGCAATGACATCTGCAGAAGCCCTTCCAGTTATTAATTCCCTTACCTTGCAGGCTCGGACTTTAAATGCATCCACATGCTTCTGTAGATGTTAATTCAAGACAAAATGTGCATTTACCCTCTATAAAATTTCAACATTTTGTGGAAATCTCCATGACCAGTCATTATGTTATATTGTATTCACATAAACAAGAAGTAAACATACAAAACACCACTATAAAGATCTACTGCCTTTAACAACTTCAAGCTGTACACAGATATAACAATTCAAACTTAACTAATATATATAAGATTATAACAATGTACATATAAGCTGTGTATAAAAATAGACTAAAATACAGGTAACAATATAGCTTACTGTAAATATTACATAAACTTCTTTACAAACATTTAGTTTTTGTAAATTAAAAAATAAGATAAAAATGGCCCTGTCCTAAATTTTATGATAGATGGCAAAATTGGGTGATATATCCTGAATTTTAAATAATTTAAAGATCAAAGTTATCAATAGCTTATTAATAAATATACTCGAATGACAACTCGTACAATATTTTACGGTTATTTACATGTAAACATATAGGTACATACCCATTATTTATCAATGCAGGGACGATGATCATTGTCTTATACAAAAAATTGGGTTCAAAATGAGTATGATATTTTACAAATCTTGATTTAAAAAACAACAACATTATAAATATATCTAACCCACGGATATTTCATCCTATTTTAAACTAGCATAAGTCCAAGTGAAGGCACATTACTTAATTTATGATGTTAATGAGTTTAAGGCAAGTTTTATCACATGAAATGTTTCTATCTTACCAACCTACTAGAATTTTAATATGAATTTAAAAGGACTCTACTGAGGTTTATTGACATAGCAGGACTGTAAATATTTTTTCAACAGTAATGTTTCATTGGCTCTAGACCAACAACTTCTAAGCAAAATTTCTAATCATTTGCTCACTCTGTTTTTTCCATAATGATTATTCTAATTATGAAAAAAAAAAATTTGAAAAGCATTGCGATACTTAGCATACTTGATTCAGGCAACAAATAGAACAAAAATACATTTTTTCAATCAAGTTTCTTTTAAGCATTTTCTTAATTATCTTTTTCATTTATTTTTAAGTGCCCCAGCAGATCTATGTAAGAAATTCATATTTGATGTTTTTAGGCTTTTGGACCCCAGTGGAGTTCCTTTAAGATAAAGTATGTATCTCATATATAACAAAATAACAATAACCAACAGTTCTTAACTAAGAAAAGGCCTATAATTCTAAATGTATACACAACTTTGAACTTACTGTAAAATCAGAATTTTTTGCAAGCCTGAAATCTGAAATTTTGGCCTAACGAAAATATCTGATTTTACAGTAGTAATAAGGGAAGTTTCATGTAACTTAAGAACATATTTGGCAAAATACAATGTATATTACCAGTATCACTAATGAGAAGGGACTCAAGATTGCCTTTATCAATCATCTGTGTAAATGATATAATTCTATTTTAATATCAGCATTTTTATCGAGTGACTACTGGAGTGATTTTTTTTACTTAGATGCTTTATGTTATGCTCTCAGCAAACTAAAATTATAAAGTAATCTTCAAAAGTTTATAACATAAAGGGTGATACAATGTATTTGTTTTGTTTTTTATGAATGAAGTTACTCCTTGGGTAGGGCTAATTTTCATGTCAGGAGCATATTTTGTAAAGATTTTATTGGAGATCACATGACAATGCCACACATGATATAAGGCATTGACCTTGAAGTTTCCAATTCTAAAATTTTCAAATTCTAGCTGTAACGACCTCCTCACACAGAACTGATATGGATAACTTTTCTAAAAATATAACAACAGTGGACATTAGGCAACCATAGAAGCTTTAGTTAAATTAAAAAGAAAAGAAAATGTATAACAATTTTTTTCTGTTTGAAACACTCTAAAAACAAACAAACATATGTAATATGTAACTTTTTCATTCATTTTGTTTCTTTTAAATATAACTTGCATAATGTTGATAAATCACTTATTGTCATGTTGAAAAAGCATCATGGTCAGTTGCCTAAATGAAATATTTCATGTCATCAGAAATCCTGGTATGATCTGTCTATATCTCATTTTCCACAAATGACATTTGCTTTAGATTTTTTCTACATAGTTGGCAGGAAATAGTCCTTCCTTTCCCCTCAATCTACCATTCCACCAGCCAGCTGGATCTGAAATCAATGTAACCAGTATTAGTACATAACTCTACAGTACAAAAGAAATGAAAGACAAAACTTTAATTGGATGCAAGAAGTTCTTAACTACTAATTAACAAGAGTGATCAGTGATCATATGTGTCACCTGATGATAGCCAATTAAGCAGTTGTATTGTGGGGTGATTGGTCAGATTGTTGGTCAGTTTGTTCTCTATATGTTGCAGCTACTTCGTAGCAAGAGACACAATAATCCTTAACAGACCAAAAAAACTTTTTTTATTCAAGGGCCATAACTCGGCCAAAAATCATTCAACTTGGAAACCAGTGCAATGTGTTAGTATCAGTAGTATAAGAAAAGTAGTCCGTAAAAATAATTAAAGGGCCATAACTCTCAGACAGAGAGACAGACTTTGGAGAAGTAATCCCTATATGTTGTCGCTACACTGAAGCAGGAACCACAAAAAGTGTTACTTCAAAGAATTTACAACTATTATATAGAAATATGTTAAACTGTCACTTTTGTTGTAAACACATCCCCCTGCAAACCTCTTTGTTTTGATAAATATGATAATGTTACTTTGTAGGGTGAAAAATGTACATTGTATTACTTAACTACGAAATTAAATTGTGTGCAGAAGAAAGGGAAAAAAGTCTGAAAATTATGTGTAATCTTGTTTCGCAGAGCAAAAGAAAATTAAAGCTTTTTGTTGAGGATATTCAAATCGCTACTCTGTTGAGTTTCATCAAAATATACCAAGAAGTCAAGGTTGTTTAAAGATTATTTTTTCGCTCTTTTAAAATTTCAGCTACTGTCATAAAAGACCCAAAGACTGCATTCCTTTTAAATATCATCAAGATCTGCACTTGGATTGAGGAGATAATGTCATTTAAATATTTATTTTAAGCTCTGACGGCCATCTTGTTTGGTAACTCAAATTGTTGAATATTAATGTGAATCAGTTTTCATTTGCTTTACAAGATTAAGTGTTATTTTCACATTTACTAGCCTAGTTTCTCTATAAAAGTAAATGTATCTTCTGATCAGTTATTTTATATTTATGTTTTGAAAATTATATGTGTTAAAATTATTATGTCTTATGTTAATACACATATACATATTTTATTGTATGAAACAGCAATAGACAGTTTATTTTATGATGTTTCTTTTAGGCGCCAAATATGGCATCACTTAAGGTAATGTTTCTTCAACACTATAAAATCATTTTATTTGTTACTTATCATTTCAACGAAGAAGTTGTATAAAGCAAAACTGAATCATATAGTTTTTACATTTAAATCTTACCTTCTTTTATAATATCTATGACATCTCCTTCGTTAAAACTAAGTTCATCTGTGTCCTGGGCATCATAAGCATACAGACATTTACACTGGGGGAGTGTCGGTTTAGGTTTTGGTGTTGGTCTAGGCTTCGGACGTCCAGCTCCAGGATGTGGCTTAGAGCTGCTCATACGATTTCTCTGTACACTGAAAATGTAAGAACCAAACTTTTCTGTTTTACATGAATATAATTTATATTCAGACCAATGTAAACCCTGGACTCATAATTGAGACAATCTTTGTAAAAGACAAATGCCATAGTCCAAATATCTAACCTTTCACACTTCCTGTCCAAAAATAGTTTTCCTATTACAAAGTTGGTAACATAACGAGGTTAATATCATTTAGAACAACTGTAGACATCTGCATATGACAACTTACACCTTATTTATCATAATAGCAGTGCTTATGGTGATTTAGATTAAGTCCTTATAAACTTTTTGTAAAATGAATGATCTCAAGATCATGAAAAGCACATAGCACATAAATAAATGTCTAGCATACATGTCAGGCATGGCAAAATCATATACATGATGTTTGTTACTGTTATTGTAGCAGACACTGTGCTATCTGGACAAGTTAAAATTTTACATCAAACTGTTTGTGGACTAAATCTGTCATTAAAATCAGAGTATTATGTAACTGAATTTTAAATTAATTTGCTTCTTGACAAAGTAAAATATTCTAGTCATTTAAAACATAAAAATCAACATTTCCAGTAAGAAGGTACTCTGAGCAATGTAAAATAAATACATACTGTCATAAGCTAAATTACAGTGTGTGTGAATGCACAAAGTTTATATATTCAAATAGTATATAAAATTTGCCAAAGACTGCATAATTTCTAATAAAATGCTTATGAATGATGCTAGTAGGTTTCTGCATCCTAAACTTGTTTCTGAAGCCATACAAAAGCTAGGTGGCAGTGTCACTAAAGTTAATTTTTACCCTGCTAAAATCGAAAGTAATAAGCCATTACCAACAGTAAAGAGCCAGGCCAGCCAGCACATCTGTGTATTTTTCTGACCAGGCTCTATACTGTTGGATGATGTAATACATGTATATCGCAAATTATAATGGTCAGTCCAAATAAATGGAAAATAGGAAAGTTCATTTATAAAAGCTAAATTTAAAACAACATTGCAAAGGTGGGTCAGAATCCAGTTGTTGCGGAAATAATTATTAAGTCAAAATAAAGCAGTATTTTAAATCATGAATATATGACTAGCAAAAAAAATATGGACAAATGAAAAAAAATTGAGATATGCCACACATGCATGTACATTTACTACTTTTGTTTAATCTTGAAAACCAAACTTCTACAAAGCAGTTGAATGAGAAGGCCATAATGACCCTTGATTGCTCACCTGAAAATGTTCAAAATTCTTCAATGCAGATTTAGGTCAACAAGTCATATTCATGCAATGTCTTATTTTGATGTCACATATAAAAGTGTACAAGTAAAGTCAATTTAAAAAATGTCAACTTATAATTAATATTTTAAACGTAGGTCACTTATGGTAATAATTGTGATCATTAATGGTCAAGGCAGGTAATAATTGTGATCATTAATGATTAAAGTAAGGTAATAATTGTGATCATTATTGATTAATGGTCAGTCAGTTGGGTGATAATTGTGACCATTAATAGTTAGTCAGGTAAATAATTGTGATTATTAACAGTTAAAGTTTAGTAATTATTGTGATCATTAATGGTCAAAGTTAGGTTATTATTGTGATCATTGATGCTCAAAGTCATGTAATAATTGTGATCATTAATGGTCACAGTTTAGTAATTATTGTGATCATTAATGGTCAAAGTCAGGTAAAAATTGTGAACATTAATGGTCAAAGTTAATAGGATTTATAAATCCCAATTCAAAAGTAGGTCAATGTGAATGGTCACTTAAAACACAAAATTTAAATTGTGATTTTAATTTGAGCTTGAAAATATACACAGAACATAAAGAATTTGAACTTTTTACTATCTATTTCATATAACAAAAATAACAATCAAGGGATAATGTCATTTTTATATAATTTTTGTAGAGGACCACAAATGATAGATCTCTCTTTCTTTAACTAATATGCTGTGGTGAAATTCTTATTGTAATCCATTAATCTGATAATTAGACAGTTTAGGAATCTATGCACATAGCGTGTTATATATTAAAGCTTAAAGCCATATAGTTTCTACATGCACAGTATTTAAGAAGATTAATTTTGTATTTTCTATGTAGGTCCATTTCAAAAGCAATGTGGCTTTAAATAAGAGACCCCAAGCGCATAATTTGAACAAATTTGGTACAGAACCACATGCACCGTAACATAACTAGGCTCTTGACTTTATGACATATAGGTTCTTTAACATTTTTACAATGTTAAAGAAGTTACTTCATGGGAGGAATCATTATAAACTCCTGGACCATCATTCGGTGATGCTATGACTTAAATATCTAGGTTGTAGGCCTTGTGATTTTGGACAGGAAAATTTTTAACCATTTTGTTTCAGTTCTGCAAATTATATGGAATGACATTATCTAAATGACTTTTATAGGCTTCATGCTAACAACATAACTGCCAAGTTTAATGAACATTATTCAAGTGGTATCAGAAGATATATACATATGTTATGTATAAAGGATGTCGGACATTGAGCGATCCTCATTGCTCACTATGGCACTTTATGTCATGTGAGCTTAAAATGCTACAAAAGGCGTGCAAATGACAAACATTTATATCAATGGGACATGAGATTAATAAATTGTAATGATTAACCTTTAACATGCTGAACTTTTGTAATGTTTTTTTTTTTTGCTTTGAAATAGTCTATTAAACATTTAAAAATTTCAATATCAATATACAATAAAGGTGTCCAAGGAGCTGCAGGCCCCACTTTTCTCAGTGCTGGATAGTAAACTGCACATTTTATAAATAAAGAGTTAATTTGAAGTACTGGTCATACTTAGCAGAACCTTACTACTTAAGCCATTGAGTCATGAAAATTTTCAAAAAGTAGAGCTAAAATTTTAACTACAGTAAAAACTGTTTACAGTGACCTTCAATGGGATGAAAAAGGTCATTATAGACAGGGAGTCACTGTGAACAGTGTTTACAGAATTCGGATATATGAACATATTTTGCCAATATTTTTTTGAAAAACACTATAGTACCATACAAAGTATCAACAGTGGTGCCTGGCTCTATACTGATGGACTTGGTACATTCAGCATGTAATGGGTTAATACATGTACATTGTGTATGTTTAATTAGGAGTAAAGAAGTCAAATCAACATAAATTTTTACAGCAAAACATGTTAGCATAAATAAAAAGACAACATAAATCATTTGTAACACCTGTTAGCCATTAAACTTGAAATTTGAAATCCAGTCTTCAATTATTTGTGGTTGGTACCCTGAACATATTTGAAATTGATCAATAAAAGGAAAATTTTTTATGTAGACTGGTGTCAAATGTCATGTTTAAAACCTACAAACCAGTCAGTTACAAGAATACACTTACTTCTTTTGAACCTCATTTCTAGCATGCCTTATGTAAAGAAAATACACAGAAGATGTTAATACACATTGGTGCAAAGCTGAGGTATGTAAAGATTTGCTGATTGCTACAGCATAAGTTGCCTCCCCTTATGTTCATGCGTCACCTCTACAGACAGATAAAAGTTTTTCCTGTTTACTCATTGTTAAAATATATCTACTATGTACTTTGATGAAATAAAATTACAAATGTATTTGAAAATTCTTTGTAGATTGTCACAGCTGCAGTCAAACACATGCCATTAGGGCTAACTGACAAAATATTTTTCAGGGTTTTTTTTTCTTTTGGTGCCATGGCAACCAAAGTTCTTAATGGAATAATTTTTTAACAACTTAGAAAGAAAAATCACCCAAGGAAAATTCCTGTTTCTAAAGCAAGACCTGTGCCGCAGACTGTGCCCTCCAGTTTTTTCAGTTTTGTAAAGTTAAAAAAAAGCAAGATAAAAAAAAGGCAAAACGATTTAAGGATGATCTGTTTTTTTGAAATGGCCTCCTTTTATTATAGATGTATACCAAGTTTAAGTGAATTGCTTTAATAGTTTTGGAGAATGTGCACCTAAATGAATGCCGAATCCAATGCTTAATGCCATTGACAAAGTCATGATAATAGCTCCACTTTATTTCTTGGAAAAATGGAGCTAAAAATAAACAAACTCCACTGTAGACAAAAATGTACAAATTGACCATATGGATGTATGAAGCAATAAAGACTTCCAAATTTATTTTTCTAGTTTCATTTACTTTAGATTTAATTCTTTATAAACAATAAGTGAATACTATTGTGTTATTTATTTGCTGACAATATATCAAGAATGTTAGAACAGTTCTTTTTCAAGTTGTCAGGGGAGATAACTTCTGGGCAATGTCTGTTTACAACAAGCATATAAACCCTATTATATATTGATTATCTACCTTAAAGAAATTGTTAAAAAACAAACATATATAATAATTAGAGCAGTCCAAGTAGACAAATACAAGATAATTGCTGAAATATACTGTCATAACTGATGTTAACATATTCAAAAATTTAGGAATATATAGTCAAAAACAGAATTTATAGTAAAAATATTTATTGCACAAACACTTTAATAAAAAAATCCAGTATACTGACACCAATGTAGCTCTCCATTCACTTTGTATAGTCAAGCTAAAAACTAAATATGTACATACATATACATTAATATTCTAAGTAATCAAGAACTACCATATATATGATAAATAACAGATGCACAGGTTAATACAGGTTTGTTTTTATATTGACTGGTTTAACATCAGAGACTTACCCTGACTGACCAGAATCTGGAACTTTCATAAAATCATTGTTCCTCGTCTTCACTGCATCTTGAATCTTCCTGCCCATGTTGTGACCACCCTCACGTGGTAGTGACGGTGTTTTATCATGACTTTTTTGTCGTGACATTTTTCTCCCTCCTGGATCTGTAAAGCAAGTAAACAGGAACTATTAAAACAAGTATTTCACTATAAAATATAGCAGACAAGAGCGGTCATGATAGACTGTTAACCATACAGCCATTGCTAGACACTTTTATCACATCACAGAATCATATCATGTTTCAGGTCATCCAAAATAAAATTCTTAAAAAGGAAATTAATGATAATATATTTGACTTACTTTGGTTAGTTGGTATAGCAGGTGCTGGGAAGGATGGAGCAGGACGGGATGGAGCCACTCTAGACGGTCTACGGTTACCTGGAGCACCATTACTCACTGAATGAACATTTCTCTTCGGTCCTAAATAATGTATAAAATGAAAAATCAAAACACCCAAAAAACATCTACAAACACAGTTACATGACCTCAATTTTTCCATCTGCCATAAATCCAACTATAGACAATAAAGACTTAAACTTGCCAAAGTCATGTACTTTGTATTGATAAGTGAGTGTGTGTAATATGCAGCTATTGGTAAATGGAAGAACTAAAAAAATAAATATCTAATTTGCCAGTCAATCATGTACAATATACTCACGAGAATCTTTAGGCAGGCCATTACCAATGGAGACTGTAAGAGTTTTTCCTGATATTTTCAGGACAGCTTGATCACCCTGACCTCTTACAAACTTGATCATCCTAGAACCTCCTCCGCCCCAGCCTTCCTTTTTTACTGCAAAATCTAAACTGTAACAATAACAAATGACTTATTGGCTGTAATCTGATTAAACTATATTTCTAACATTAAATAAAAACAAAAGCACAGCATGCAGTGTTATGTTTGTCTGTAAAGAGCAAAACAGTCTAAGTTAAAAAGTGTCATAACTACAAGAATATAGGTTTCAGAATTATGCCCCTTACATTACTCCTATATAACTGCCTCCTGTCATGTTAAGCAAGCATTCTAGGTTTCATATAGATACCTTTAAAATTGTTTGAATAACGGGCTACAGTTTTGCACGGCCATGACAACGACACAGCAAAATAGACCAGCTAAAAATGAAAGATATCTATAAAGAGTAAATAGTTTATTGTAATAGTTTCAATAAACAAGATTGTCATTGAGGCCAGAAATCCGATACTAGACAAGATACTAGACAAGGACGTAATGTTTCATATGGTGGCTAATTTGGGCCATTCATGTTTTCGCCCTGCGACCGTTTTATTTTTTAAATCTCGCTACACATCCCTGCTGAGCGAAGTTTTATTTCTTAAACTTCCCCCTGTGTCCCGATAATTAGCTACTTTTCGCTCCGCGCCCCCACCATTTTAACTTGTTAATTCTCGACATTTTGCTTGGCGGGGTCAAGGAGCGAAAACAAGAATGGCACATATCAGCCACCATAGTTTCAAGAGATATCATTTTTCAGGTGTTATATTTTTTAGGTTTAGTGATAAATGTTAGGAAATTTAAAAAAAGGAACAATTAAAAACTAGAAATGTGTCATCATGCCACAGATGCCCCCGCATGCAGCCAAAATTTCAGATGGTGCATTAATTTTTTTTTTTCATTTTAAGTTCAAAGCCCTTAAAACTTTTCAATGTTAACACAAACCATTTCCATACAACGTTCAAGGCACTGAAATTATTCAGTCTTAACCTTTAGAAAAAGCATATTGCATATTTGTAGCCAAAATAATGGCTAAAAGTACGAGTGCTGAAACTGAAAGTTCAAAATTTTTCCAACATTCAGGAAAGATAAGTTTGTCTAAAATCATTGAACCACGACCAAATTCAAACTTAAACTGCTTATTCCTAAGATGTATCTATATTAATTTTCAAAGTGAAAGGGACATAACTCTGCCAAAAAAACATCAAACCATGACCAAATTCCAACTTGACCTGCCCATTCCTTTGACATATCCATATGTCAAATTAAAATTGAATATGTAACACTGTTAGGTAGATAATGAACAGAAACTGTAAATTTCATATTATTTTCAAAGTGAAAGGGGCATAACTCTGCTATAAATCATCGAACCACGACCAAATTTGAACTTGACCTGCGCATTCCTTTGACGCATCAATATGTCAAGTTTGAGTTGATAGTGTTGTACCGTTGGGGAGATAATGAACGGAAGCTAAAAATTTCATATTATTTTCAAAGTAAAAGGGGCATAACTCTGCCAAAAATCATCGAACCATAACCAAATTCGAACTTGACCTGTTTTTTCTCATAACATATCCATATGTCAAGTTTGAGTTGAATGTGTCCAACCGTTCTTGAGATAATGAACGGAAACTGAAATTTCATATTATTTTCAAAGTAAAAGGGGCATAACTTTGCCAAAAATCATCGAACCATGACCAAATTCGAACTTGACCTGTATTTTCTCATGACATATCCATATGTCAAATTTGAGTTGAATGTGCCCAAGATAATGAACGGAAACTGATGATGACGGAATGACAGAATGACGGAAGGACGGAAGGATGGAAGGACGGAAGGACAGAATGACGGAACAGGGTAACACTATATGCCCCGGCCATTACATGGCGGGGGCATAAAAATGTGTCATCATGCCACAGATGCCCCCGCATGCAGCCAAAATTTCAGATGGTGCATTAATTTTTTTTTTTCATTTTAAGTTCAAAGCCCTTAAAACTTTTCAATGTTAACACAAACCATTTCCATACAACGTTCAAGGCACTGAAATTATTCAGTCTTAACCTTTAGAAAAAGCATATTGCATATTTGTAGCCAAAATAATGGCTAAAAGTACGAGTGCTGAAACTGAAAGTTCAAAATTTTTCCAACATTCAGGAAAGATAAGTTTGTCTAAAATCATTGAACCACGACCAAATTCAAACTTAAACTGCTTATTCCTAAGATGTATCTATATTATTTTCAAAGTGAAAGGGACATAACTCTGCCAAAAAACCATCAAACCATGACCAAATTCCAACTTGACCTGCCCATTCCTTTGACATATCCATATGTCAAATTAAAATTGAATATGTAACACTGTTAGGTAGATAATGAACAGAAACTGTAAATTTCATATTATTTTCAAAGTGAAAGGGGCATAACTCTGCTATAAATCATCGAACCACGACCAAATTTGAACTTGACCTGCGCATTCCTTTGACGCATCAATATGTCAAGTTTGAGTTGATAGTGTTGTACCGTTGGGGAGATAATGAACGGAAGCTGAAAATTTCATATTATTTTCAAAGTAAAAGGGGCATAACTCTGCCAAAAATCATCGAACCATAACCAAATTCGAACTTGACCTGTATTTTCTCATAACATATCCATATGTCAAGTTTGAGTTGAATGTGTCCAACCGTTCTTGAGATAATGAACGGAAACTGAAATTTCATATTATTTTCAAAGTAAAAGGGGCATAACTCTGCCAAAAATCATCGAACCATGACCAAATTCGAACTTGACCTGTATTTTCTCATGACATATCCATATGTCAAATTTGAGTTGAATGTGCCCAACCGTTCTTAAGATAATGAACGGAAACTGATGATGACGGAATGACAGAATGACGGAAGGACGGAAGGACGGAAGGATGGAAGGACGGAAGGACGGAATGACGGAACAGGGTAACACTATATGCCCCGGCCATTACATGGCGGGGGCATAAAAATGTAACAGGCTGTTAAATTCTTAATTCCTATATCAATCCATCTTAATTTGTTTGGCTGTAGATGTTCTTTGAAGAAATGTTGGCATTGGATGATAACACATGATGGGTACAGATATATGATAGGGCCAAAAAATAATAAATGATTCTTTCATTATTCAAAACAGAAGACTGACTCTCTTCCTATCTCTAATGAAGAATTTTACCTGTCAGAAAATATAAGTCGTAATTCCTTCCCAGTTTTATCCTTGTACCTCTTCGTTAGTAGAGACAGAAATTCTGTTTTAAATACAGATTCTAGAACACTAGCATAATCATTCTGTATATGTAGTAAAAATATATCATCTTGCATAGTACTGAAATGAAAGAGAAAAATTTCCATAAACTCAAAATATATACATATATCCTCTACAATGGAAGCATTGGCCAGTGTTTGTTTCCTACTTCATGGATTAGAATGCATTTCACATATGATTTAATTTTGATAAAGGTAGTTTTACTACACATTTAAGAGTCTAGGGTTGACACAAACATGTAACTTGGCAGTATCAGGATGCTTTCAGAAAAATGTACAGAGCTGTCTCTTTTTGTTGGGAGTTGAAAAATAACAACATTGTAGAAAATGATTGTATAAGTCATACTGTTACAAATTCAAGGGGAAATAACTTAAGAACTAGAAATGTGTCATCATGCCACGGATGCCCCCGCATGCAGCCAAAATTTCAGATGGTGCATTAATTTTTTTTTTTTTTCATTTTAAGTTCAAAGCCCTTAAAACTTTTCAATGTTAACACAAACCATTTCCATACAACGTTCAAGGCACTGAAATTATTCAGTCTTAACCTTTAGAAAAAGCATATTGCATATTTGTAGCCAAAATAATGGCTAAAAGAATGAGTGCTGAAACTGAAAGTTCAAAATTTTTCCAACATTCAGGAAAGATAAGTTTGTCTAAAATCATTGAACCATGACCAAATTCAAACTTAAACTGCTTATTCCTAAGATATATCTATATTATTTTCAAAGTGAAAGGGACATAACTCTGCCAAAAAATCCATCAAACCATGACCAAATTCCAACTTGACCTGCCCATTCCTTTGACATATCCATATGTCAAATTAAAATTGAATATGTAACACTGTTAGGTAGATAATGAACAGAAACTGTAAATTTCATATTATTTTCAAAGTGAAAGGGGCATTACTCTGCCAAAAATCATTGAACCATGACCAAATTTGAACTTGACCTGGGCATTCCAAAAACATATCCATATGTCAAATTTGAGTTGAATGTGTTGTACCTTGAGGGAGATAATGAACGGAAACTGAAAATTTCATATTATTTTCAAAGTAAAAGGGGCATAACTCTGCCAAAAATCATCGAACCACGACCAAATTTGAACTTGACCTGCGCATTCCTTTGACGCATCAATATGTCACGTTTGAGTTGAATGTGTTGTACCTTGAGGGAGATAATGAGCGGAAACTGAAAATTTAATATTATTTTCAAAGTGAAAGGGGCATAACTCTGCCAAAAATCATCGAACCATGACCAAATTCGAACTTGACCTGTATTTTCTCATGACATATCCATATGTCAAGTTTGAGTTGATTGTGTTGTACCGTTGGGAGATAATGAACGGAAACTGAAAATTTCATATTATTTTCAAAGTAAAAGGGGCATAACTCTGTAAAAAATCATCGAACCAAAACCAAATTCGAACTTGACCTGTATTTTTTTCATAACATATCCATATGTCAAGTTTGAGTTGAATGTGTCCAACCGTTCTTGAGATAATGAACGGAAACTGAAATTTTATATTATTTTCAAAGTAAAAGGGGCATAACTCTGCCAAAAATCATCGAACCATGACCAAATTCGAACTTGACCTGTATTTTCTCATGACATATCCATATGTCAAATTTGAGTTGAATGTGTCCAACCGTTCTTAAGATAATGAACGGAAACTGATGATGACGGAATGACAGAATGACGGAAGGACGGAAGGACGGAATGACGGAACAGGGTAACACTATATGCCCCGGCCATTACATGGCGGGGGCATAAAAATGATGTCACAGATATATAATGGTGTTTGCATTGATATATAAATGTGAATTATATGAAGACAATAGTGAAACAGGAACATTTAGAATATAAGATATACCAACTATAACCATGCCTATTTTCATAGAGCATTAATTTAAAGTTAGGAGCATTACTGCTGTATAAAGACATGGGTATAGGTAGATATGTGTTTAACATTACATTCTAAAGTGCCATGTTTGCCAGTTATGGTACAAATTTACTAGGATCATGGCATTGTTATGGTTACAAAGTACAAACTTTTGACAAATAAACTTGTGAAAAGTGATTTCCTGATGTATAGACAAAAGAAAATTAATGTTTGTAAAATACAATAACAAATTGTAAACATGGTACAAGATAATAGTTATTGTGAAATTGCATCAACATTAAAAATTGGACCATTTCAAAAACTTTCTAAATTAATAATAACGAAAGCAAACATTTTAAAAGGGCTAACATAATGTTAGTACAAACTGTGAATTACCTGAAAGCTACAGATTGTACTTCCTCTAGTGGCAGTTTTCTTTTAACAACTTCTACCATCTGACCCTTCTGTGCTCCTTTTTTTATCTGAAAAATAGCAAATGAGAATACAGTCAAACTTATGTAAAACAGTTAAGCTTTGGGACAAGCTAGAGTTGGCTGCTAATTCGATGGGGTTTATAAATTACTGATACAACAGTAAGTGCAAATCAATCTGTCAAAGTCACTATACCTCATTTCTCAGTGAATAGTATAATGAAAGTAAAGAAGAGGAGTGTTTGATAGACTAACCTGGTGTACAGACTTAGATTATCATGATACATGCCAAGACACAGCACATTCAATAATGTTTTAAGTTTCGATGATAATCTCACAAAGTAACTAAACAATTAAAGAAGCTCTACTGAGTTTCAAAAGCCTAAAGATATTAATCTACATTATAGTTTGGACATGTAAATCTATACAAGTATATATATAACAGAAGAATTTTACATAGATCTACCTCCTACAACAAAATCAATGTGAGTGGGACTAATAAGCAATTATTACAATTTAATCAGTAGTTTTATGCAAATAACAAATGTCCTAAATTAAATACTCAATAACAAAACAACAGGAAAAATTTTACATCAAAACTTTAGTAATTAGTCAGAAACATTTACCTTTTCTCGTCCAATGAGGTAAATGTTTTGTGGAGTCAGCAGGAGATCTCTCTTTGTTGACTGAAATAACAAATTAAATAAATGTTACTAAATTCATATTATCTTAAGCATACAAAATAACAAATAATTGCATATGATTTAATAAATATCATATTATTATAAAACAAAACCTGTCCCACTACAGCATGCTCCACTTTTCTCAGTGCTGGATAGTAAAATAAAAGCCAAAAAGGGGTCATAGTTCTGCAAAAAAAGCTTGGCAGACTTAAATTAACAAGATGGCCCTGGATTGCCGCTCAATTGAGATACATTGCTAGAAAAGGTCACAATTTTTTTCAATGTTAAAGTCAGTAATGCTGTCACATTTTGTTTGTCATTTTATACTCAAGCTGTATAATTCTAAAGTATTTGTAGATATCTGCTATGAAATGCTCAATGACAAATATCTAAGCTCTTGGCATCATAGTTTCACCTATATAAACTAAGTGACACATGGCTGAAGCCAATTTTGATCCAAGGGGTATGATTTATAAACTTTTGTAGAGGTCCCCAAGGTTATACTACATGCCAAATATCTAAGCCCTGGGCATTGCAGTTTCTCAAAAGAAGACATATGAACATTCCTATACAAGCCTATGTAAAATAAGTGATATTTTTGACACTAGAAGCTTGATTATTTAACTTTTGTAGAGAACCACAAGGTGATGCTACTTGCTATTATTTTGAAATAAAATGTCAGTTGACAGTATCTGTTACACTTTAAGTTGTTTTTGAAGTCTATTTCCTAGAGAGACAGTTTTTTATTATTACAAATTGTTTTCATTATGGATACCAAATTTAATAAACACATTGTTAAGATATATATTCACATGGTGAAAATTACTCAAATGGCTTTCAAAAAAATTTTTTTTTTCTTAAATGTTATTTTACCAATAACCACTGAGGAACCAAGCAGCTGCAGATAATGAATATATTCATATTTTTCCGGAAAAAAATGAAACAGCAGCAATTTTGTCAAGGAAAAGTTATTCCATTTTCTGTTTTTGATAATTGTAAACTGTACAACTTCATCAATTTTATTGCAAGAATTTTGCAAAATAATTGTGCTGGCAAATAATAATAGTATTATGCAGTAAATAAAAAATTCTGTTGGTTTCTTATATCTAAACATTTAAAAACCTGCACTTAAATCATTTTATAATGAAAGTGTTAATACAGAATTTGAATAGGAAGCACAAACCTTAAATCTCCTATCATATTTGTTCACTGTATCTGCAAATTCTATTCTTTCTCGTTTTCCCACTAAGGCACGTAGAGCAGGAGTTTCCTCTATACCAATATAATCACCAACAAAGTTACGATTTATACTGAATCGTTTCCTCTCCTTTCTGTTCAGTAAAATATCAGATGCTGAAAACACAGATCATAACAATCTTTATAAATATACTAACAAAATAAACCCGTACCCTGCAGAATTAGTTCAAACTACTAAATCTTATTTCTAGCTATCTGCAAGTTTGTTGATGTTTAAAATGAAAGTATATTAATTTCAGCAATCAACACAATACAGTTAAGTCTGGCGCCAAATTTGCCATTGATAAGTCACTGCTAGTAATTTAAGACTCAGCCTTATGTGCCACCTGGCACAAAGAGGATAGGTAGGTAGTAGGTAGTATTTTAAGGTTGATTTACTATATTCTTCTAATAACATTTTCATTATATTTGTGGAACATCACTATGTCAGTATCAATATTAGTGTGACATCAACATTTGCCTTATATATGTTTTAAACATGCCAAATCAGTATAAATGACTACATCATAATAGATAGCTTATATCAAAGAAGTCAATTCAATAATCATAAACTTTACTTGACATATCTAAATTCCCTTACAAGTGAAGAATACTATTTCTTTTACAATGACTAGAAAGCTTCAGAATATATCTTTCTTTCTTATCTAGTGTACATGCTCCATGGTAAAAAGCTATCTCTGTGTCTGGTAAAAGATGAAGATAGGAAAGAAATATGTGTAAATCATGCATCAATACCTTCTTCCTTCTGTTTGAAATACTGTTGTCTAGCATGATATTTCCTCCAGGTTTTCTGTATAACACGAGCATAACTATCAAACTTTCTCTCCCTCATCTCCTCCAGTAAAAATAGCTAAAATTGAAGAAAGTAGTGTATATATTCAATATAACGTAATACAATAAGTTTTTTCTACAGAAAATGATGAGTCGACCAATCACATTTTCCCAATATTTTGATAGTTTGAATTAAACTTTGTAAGGTTGTTGTTGTTTGTTTTTTTTCAAATTCTACTCTGTGTAAAAATTGCTTCAACAAAAGTCGATGATTTGCATTTTTATTAGATAAGTTTCATGATTTAAAGACTTTTATAAAATTACATGTATAAGTTGGAGCAGCATTGTGTATAGGAACATCATGAGAATCATGCACACCTCAGCAAACAATACAGGCAACTTTTCAAAGTCAAGCAAAATATGCTCAGAACAAACTTTCAAGTTTGAAAAACTTTTGTAAATGACAACTAGGCATTGCTTTGTGCTGTTTATCTTGCTCTACAACAAGTTGTTACACAGGAGGATTAATAAAATGCGTCAAAAAAAGGTCACAAAAAGGTGACACAAAAAAAACCCTCAATTTCTGAACTTTGGACTTTGACTTCTATGCAACCTTGACATTTGTACACCAAACATAGGTTTGGGAATGACACAATGTCTCGTGCGTGTTCAAATATGTGCTATTTTTTAAAACACCTCAAAGGAAAAGAAATACTAGACACCAAAAATAGACTCCAGTTTGATCTTTGTTCTCAATATTTGACAACCATGTTTTGACTTTAAGGATCTTGGTGTCTTCTTTACATCACTTGTGTATAATGACAAACTAGTAAAGTAAGAAATCAAGAGTGCTCAGGTAAGCCTAGAATGTATTAATATAATACTTAGATTACTTACAGATTCAGGGTTTTTTATAAAGACTTTAGATTTTCCTAATTGATATTGGTCTCTATCCATGTTGACAAAGTCCATTAAATGATGTACTCCTTGAGTGATCTGTCCCCTCCATTCAGGCCAAGTTTCTGGTGTCAGTATAGCATATCTGAAACAAAATAAATGTTACTTCTTTCAAACACAGACAAGTCCATCAAATAGTAACAAGTAACAAGCAAATATTTTCAGTAGTTGATGAAAGTTGTAAAAGACAATTGTTTCAATTATATTTCTCTACGATTATACAAAGTTTAAGAAAATTCCCTGCATGAGGTTAAATTTTCCTTCTTTGGCTTTGTTAAAAAGAATGCAGTACAGTAGGAAATGCCTTTAAATGTGTCTCTTCTTCTAAGATGTGGCTCTGGAAAGAAATTTTAGGTTTCAAACTGCAATCTAAATAACAAAGAGCCATAACTCAACAACACAACTCTAGATTTAAAGTTAAAACAACAAAGGACCATAAATCAATAATGCACAGTTGGATTTTGATAGAATTCATGCTAAATTTACTACAATCTAACTAACCAGTTTTACAACATGACTGTGGATAAAATTTTCCATAAAAATGCACCATTTTAAGTAACAAAGGGCCATAACTGAATACCTGATGGTAAGATTTTTGATGGCATATAATAAGTCTCATTTCCTTAGTCATATTTACATTCATGCCAAGTTTTAAATACAACCAACCAATGATAAGATATGAATCTGGATGGAAGAAAGGAAAGCCTATTCAGAATTTCCCTTCTGATTTATTGGTAGGGTGTAAAAACAACAATGTTACTACAGAGGTTCAAATAAGAAGATTAAAAACAAAAATACTTAAAGAAAATAAGTATATAATAACATGCAAGCATACCTTCTGAGAAACTTTGGAAATTCTCTTCTAAAGGCAAATCCAGCTCTTCTGACTCGAATGTTTTCTTTTAATCCTAAATACTCCACCTGATGCTTCACTCTGCAATGTTTAAGTTAAAAATTTGTAAAAAAGATATATGTGAATTATTCTGTGATATTAGCAGGAAAAACATAAATTGAAATGACTTTGTTGATCTGGCAGTTTATGTTTGGAATGCTATAATTACAATATTTTTGTAATATCAGACAAAAGTAAAATCTGCAAAAACTGAGGAAGATTTAAAGTTTCTGATAATATCAAGTAAAATACATTGTATTAAACCAAGTAGACCCTGATAGATCCTAGAACAAGTAACTTTAATTATAAATTAAAAGTAAATCTGGTTAAGTCACAAACAGATTCAAAGGGAAGATATTTTTTTCAGTTCAAATGGGAGATCATTTTTGAAACATAGGTGTTTCAACCTTAACATTTATGATGTAAGAGATGATAACAAACATGTATTTGAAGTTTGAAGTAAGTCTTTTAAATTATAAAAAGACATAGTAAAAAATTTTTTACTATATAAAAACTTAAATCAGAAATTTGGATGCAAACATCAAAGACTAAGTGAGTATGACAATATTCAATATACTTCTTATAGTACAGCTAAAAATAAAACCTTGAGGAGTAGCTAATAATAAATTAAAGACTATGGCCACAGTTTCTGTTACCAAATGTTAAATTTATACAATCACAAGTATTGCAATTGTGTAAGTTCTACAATAATAAAACAATGTCAAGGGTCACTTGTTCAATACGTGTATATATGTGTAAGTATAAAATATTTCAGGGTACAGTGGCAGTTAATGTGTGCTGAGAGTGAATTTCCTTGTTCACTTTCAAGTATTAAAATTAACATTAAATAAACAATTATTTTTTAATTATATAATATAATCAAGGACAACAAGAATGTTAAAACCTGCTATCTTCAAAATCCCTTGCCCTCTTTGTCTCATTTGGTTTGATACATCTGATATAGTGTGGTGTACATTTCATTAGTGTGTCAACTAATTTGTTCGCTTGAGTCTGAAATAAAAACAGACATTCATTTTAAGAAAATGATCACTCAAATACATATAAACATATACATGTAAGTGCCCTCCTGTAGTTGAATAGTTTAATCTATATAACATTTGTAGAGGACCACTAGGTGATGCTTCATGCCAAATGATTATGCTCACAACACTCGTTTGTGATGATTTTTAAAGCTTTCATTGTCTTAGTCTATTTTAGCTCCTGTGACCTACTTATTCATCAAACAGGAATCATTTAAATAATTTGTTGTAGAGGGTCATCAAGTTAAAATTCCTGTGAAATCTAGTACAATTTTAGTAAATTCTATCATGCAGTTAAGGAGATGTCATTAAAGAAAATTGTGGAAATGGATATCATGCTGCCACATCTTAACACTTAAGGAAAGCTAAAAATTTAAAATCAATTTCCTTATCATCTTATCATGTATAACATTTGTGACAAGTCTATTTAAAATCTCTTTCAAATTACAGAATTATTGTCCTCAAAAATCGTGAACAATATATGTCTTAAAACTTTAAGTGGTACTTTTGACACTTGAGCAACAAACATACTTGGACCTTGTCATTTATTATTTGGTTAACCATAAACCATATATACAGTTTGAAATTTATCAAATAACAAAAGACAAATACAGTATGACATATTTTATTGCATCATAAATCTGGAAACACACAACAAGCTTTTTGCAAAACTTGTTTCCATGACATGATGTTTTAACAGGCTAATACAGTCAAACCTCCGTTAATTCAAATTGCTTAGGACTGAAAATTTACTTCGAATAATCAATGAGTTTGAATAATCGAAATCAAAAAGTGTTGGACAACAACTATTCAACTTAAGCCAAACGCCAAATATAACAATAGTCCCATTAAAAACACACTTGTTTTCACTAATTAATCGAGAAAATAAATAAGCAACAAAGGATGAGTAAAAAATTAATTTTATTGATACTGAAGACATTCCACATTATGTAGCACATACAATAAAATTATCGCTTTCATCTTCAAGCAATAACAGTAACAACATTGGACACTGTGCAGCAGAATTTAAATCATAGACATAATGTACCATTTTGAAAAAGAAAAAGAATTTATACAAATATATGGTAGTTTTTGCTTATTTATTTCTTTCTTTACTTTCATCTTTTAATTATTAAATTATTAAATTGAATACTTTTAACCAGCCAATAATTAAAAGAGAAATCACTCTCATACAATTTATTTTCGGTTTATTTTATTTAAAGTTAATTTAAAAACACGCATAATTATCTCTATTGACAAAATACACCATGGCTGTTAGAAATTTTTCCAAGTTTTGACGGTCAAGGAGAGGATCATCATTTTGAAAAATAGGTGTGAAATTCTGTCATAATTGTATAATCCGGACCAAAATTTTACTTCGAAAAATAGGAGGTATTCGGATAATGAATTTCGAATAATCAATCAAATTTATATTGATTTAAATAGATTTAAAAACAGGACCGCCAATCTACTTCGGATAATGATGGGTATTCGAATAAAGGTTGTTAAATAACTGGGGTCGGACTGTACCTAAAACACTATTTAAGAACATCTTTAACCCTTAAACTAGAACCTAAAGTAATTGGCTATTGTAATCTGTTTACAGCCAGACCAGACTACACATCCATGTAGTATGACCAGACTTTTTACTGTTTCTCAATTACCAAACAGCCCTTCAATCTAAAATGGAATGTTCCAAATTCAAAACAGAACAAATCCAATACAATATTTCAGCTAGGAGAAGGCAAAAAATCAACTTACTTTTATCTTTGTTGAAACAGTGGTTGGTCGACTTCTTTGATTTTTATCTAACTTCTCTGGGAACAATGATACAACAAACTCACTGAAAAAAAAACAGTTTGGTAAACAAAAAACTCAAAATATCCAGTAACTGACTTCAATTATTCCTCTGTTCATAAACTCTGAAAATTAGCGTCATGACCTTTTGTACTGGTAATTATATCAATAAATGGGGTGTCCATGACCAAATGGTTAAAATCATTGACTTCAAACCACTTAAAATTAACCTTTACAGCTGTGGGTTCGAGTCCCACCAGGGACTTTGTATTCTTTCATGTGAAAAAACTATCCAGCTAGCTTATGGAATGTCAATGGTTCTACTCCTGTGCCCATTTATCCCTGAAATAATGTACAAAGAGACACCTGACATCTTCCTGAACCAGGTAAAGCTGGGAGGTCATCATATGATCTATGTGACTGCTATTTGTAGAAGATACACAGGTAAAAATGCATCATATGTTTACATACAGTTAGAAACTATATGTTGTCTCCAAGAAAAACACATCATATGTTTTACATATGTTGCAGACACATGTTTTTCATATGTTTTACATGTGGTTACACATGAATAAAATCAGTTTTACAGAAAACATGGTGTGCCAAACATCCATCCCAATTTCGTTAAACATGTAGTGCATTTTTAATTGTAATAATTAGGTCATGTAGTTTCAGAGAAGTAAATTTTAAAGCTGCACTCCTCCAGATAAGTAAAGAACTTCTTCAAAAGTTAAAATACAGTTAACTTCTTGAATTACAACTAGTTACTGTGTTTTTATTCACCATAATAATGATAATTGTTTAAACCAGAAAAGATTTTTTTCAAATCTTATACAAGATGTCCCTTATTATAAAAACTGTCATTTTATCATTAGCTCAAACCTTAAATATAATTATATAGTTTATTGACAGCCACAAATATATAATTATAGCACAGATATTATATGACAGAGTTAACTTACTTTTCACTAGACTGCATTAGCTGTACAAGGTCAGGAAACAGAACATCTCTGTTTCTTTCACAAAACCCTTCAGCATTATACTCCACCTGCAAGACAAATCACAAGCCGTACATCAAAACAACTTGATTCTATACCTCCTTATGTAAACATTAATCTATATAAATAATTATTCAATAAATATCAATGTCTGACAGGAAGATTTTTAAACATTTCATTGAGAAACATATAAAGTTATGTAGGACCAGCTCCTGTCAATATCTGTTTAGTTTAATAATCAAGTATCCCATGATAAGGGAAATATTGCTGAATGAATTTTAGGCAACAAAACTTGATGGACATAAATTTATTACAGTTAGTCCATATCGTAACTTGTCTGAAACAGACCAAAGATTTATGAATATTCCTACAAATGTTAAAATACTAGATATCAGATCAATTAATGTTGGTACAACATTTTAACCTTAAACTGTGACCCTGACCTTAAAGAAGGTATCCTGATATGTAATGTTGTCTCGATGAGATATACATTTCACCTAATTATTATGTGTATTATTACAGAAGTTCTTATTCACTGTGACCTTGACCTTAAAGAAGATATCCTGATATGTAATGTCAGTTTGACATGTTGTCTCGATGAGATACACATTTCACCTAATTATTATGTGTATTATTACAGAAGTTCTTATTCACTGTGACCTTGACCTAAACTGTCAGTATGTTAGTACTGCATGTCCTCTCAATGAGATAAGTAATTAACTATCATAACATCTTCAGATGGTTCAAGAGTTAAAGTGCAGACTAAAATCACTTACAAGATGCAGTCACATGAGGAAGTCTTTATAATAAACAACAAGTCCACACATTTATTCAAAGTGAAAATCTAAATCAACATATGAATGTATATTAAGCATCAACATACCTTTCCAGCATAATGATGTGTAATAAATCCAATACTGGTTCCATTGTAATGTTCATGACTTCCAACAGCAGCATTGAGTTTCTAAAATACATGTAGATTATATAACATATGTGTAACCAGTTAGTGATATACAAGTAGATTATACAATGCATGTGTAACCAATTAGTGAATTACATGTAGATTATACAACACATGTGTAGCCAGTAAGTGAAATACATGTAGATTATATAACATATGTGTAACCAGTTAGTGAAATACATGTAGATTATATAACATATGTGTAACCAGTTAGTGAAATACATGTACATTATATAACATATGTGTAACCAGTTAGTGAAATACATGTAGATTATATAACATATGTGTAACCAGTTAGTGAAATACATGTAGATTATATTACATATGTTTAAACAGTAAGTGAAATACATGTAGATTATACAATGCATGTGTAACCAGTTAGTGAATTACAGGTAGATTATACAACACATATGTAGCCAGTTAGTGAAAAACATGTTGATTATATAACATATGTGTAACCAGTTAGTGAAATACATGTAGATTATATAATATATGTGTAACCAGTTAGTGACATACATGTAGATTATATAAAATATGTGTAACAAGTTAGTGACTTACATGTAGATTATATTACATATGTGTAACCAGATTATATTACATATGTGAAATCATTTAGTGACATACATGTAGATTATACTACATACATGTAAACAGTTAGTGACATAAATGTAGATTATATTACATATGTGTAACCATTTAGTGACATATATGTAGATTATATTACATATGTGTAACCAGTTAGTGACATACATGTAGATTATATTACATATGTTTAACCAATTAGTGACATACATGTAGATTATATTACATATGTGTAACCATTTAGTGACATACATGTAGATTGTATTACATATATGTAACCAGTTTGTGACATAAATGTAGATTATATTACATATGTGTAACCATTTAGTGACATACATGTAGATTATATTACATATGTGTAACCATTTAGTGACATACATGTAGATTATTTTACATATGTGTAACCAGTTAATGACATACATGTAGATTATATTACATATGTGTAATCATTTAGAGACATACATGTAGATTATATTACATATATGTAACCAGTTAGTGACATACATGTAGATTATATTACATATGTTTAACCAGTTAGTTTTCATTAGTACATAAAGGGAGATTTTTGGATTTTTTTCTTCTTTTGCACCAACACCATATAGGTCATATGGCAAGTTTCCAGCTTTATTTCAGGCACAAACTGGCATCTGAGTAAAACCACCAACATTTTGTAAGATAGTTGAATAGCTTTTTCACATGCAATAATTTGAAGATGTCAGTGCAGATCGAACATACAGAGGTGAGAGGCAAGTGGTTTGAAGTCAACAACCTTAACCACACAGCCATGGAAGCCCCTACATATAAGGAGGTAATTTTAAAATTTTAAAAAAGATGGAGATATGGTTCTTTTGCAGTGCACTTCCTCTTAATGCTTTAAGTTTCACTGGATTCTTATACTTTCAGATATGTTCAGGGCTAGAAAAATACAGACCATGAGGCCTGAGACACATCTTAATATGGTGAATATTTGTGCAAACATATTTCTAAACCCTATGTTGAATGAAAAGGTTGTGTAGTGGACCTGAACAGAATATGTTAAGCTTTTACCTCTCAGTGTGACTTTCACCTGGGTGATAGGGGGTCTTGGTGTTGTCTATGACCCACCTTATTATTGTGAGCATTTGTGCCAATTTTTTTTTTCAAGATTCCTTTATAGATGATAAAGTTAAGGACTGGACACAAAATATTCCATCCATTTGAAAAAGTTGACCTTTGATCTTCAAGTGTGACTCTAAACTTGAAGATATGAGTCTGGTTGATGTGCATGACATGCCTTCTTTTTATTGTGAACATTTATGTTATTTCTAAACCCCTTGATAAATGAAAACAAAAAACACACACACAATACACAGTATCAATAATAAGAAAAATGAGAGAATTAGTAGAAGAGGAGTTACCTGTAACAAGGTCATATCAGCACCCTCTGAGACAGCATGTAATGTAGCACAAACATCATCTAGTACACACATTATTCCTGGTGGACTCTTCATCTCTATCAAATCACACACAATCTTGTTGTTAAAGTAATCTATTGGTGTCCATTTTATACCTTCTTGTACATACTCTTCCTGTCATACAAATACATAACATCTCCTCATATATACCAGTGTTTCTGTGTTATTGTAAAACAATACTGGTCATTTGCCAGTCAACTTCTCAATAGATGATTTGAGTTAACAATGAAAATAACTGGGCTGTCCGAGGGGTATGATGTATATTTATATTATAACTTTTGTGGGGACAAGTAATCAGGCAATACTACATGGCAAATACATAAGCTGAATGTAGTTTCACAGTTTTTCTATATTCATAGTCAACTTAAACTAAGAGCAATTTAATAGCTGGGCACAGGGCTGTAATTGATATAAATTTTTTACTGATATATCTAAAGCCAAATATAGACAATAGATATATCTGATTTAATAACTAGCATAGTGGAAACCATTTCAAAACATATTATAACTGTAATCATTGTGCCATGCATGCTAGTTTTAGTCATCACAAATACAACATGCTAAAATAATGTATGTTTTCTTGCTATTTTTTCTATCTGACTTTTGAATATAAAAACCCAGAAATTCTAAGAGAAGTAACTTCTCCCTTCTGACAAAGGCAGGTAGAAATAAATTTTAATTGCACTGATACTTTAAATGGTAAATCTATTTTGAATTGAATGTTGAATATCAATGATTTATAAACATTGCAATTATAAATATTGCAATGTAGCCCAACATTTAAAGACTTCACCTGCTCTGCTTTGAGAGTTAATTCTATGAAGATTTGTTGTAGTTTTTCATTGACATAGTTTATACAGAATTGTTCAAAGCCATTCTTCTGGAAGATCTCAAATCCATAAATATCTAGAATACCAATGTTGATCTCTTCTTGATCCTTTCTCATAGCTCTATTTACAGACTGAAAAACAACAATAATTTTGTTTACCACTGGCCTGATAAATTTGTATAATGACCATGTCTGCTTTGCATTTTTAAAAAATATAGCTACTGTTAAAAAAGAATATACAGCAGAACATCTGTAAGTCGAAGTTGAAGGGACTTGCATAAAAAACTTTGACACATTGGCACTTTGACTCATGAATAATGACAAAATTTCGAGCTATCAACCTTTACCAGTGAGTTACAATGATAAAAGAAAAGGACAATAACTAAACCAGCTTAAAGTAAATATATCATGTGTGACTAACATATGACACCAGGTCTTGAAGATCTCAAATGAATTAAATCGTACTGTTTACATTCAAATACAACTAAGGCAAGTACAATAATAACAATTAAAGCATGTTTTCACTCATAGGAACGCTTACAAAGGCTGCTAGAATAGACGGCTGTTTAATTAACACATTTTATTACTTATTTCCACACAAAGAAACACTTACAAAGGCTGCTAGAACACACAGCCATGTAATTAACACATTTTATTACCTATTTTCACACAAAGGAACACTTACCAAGGCTGCTAGAACACATGGCTGTTTAATTAACACATTTTATTGACTATTTTCACACATGAGAACGCTTACAAAGGCTGCTAGAACACACAGCTGTGTAAGTTACACATTTAATTACCTATTTTCACTCATAGGAATGCTTACAAAGGCTGCTAGAACACACTGCTGTGTAAGTTACACATTTAATTACCTATTTTCCCTCATGGGAAAGCTAACAAAGGCTGCTAGAACACATGGCTGTTTAATTAACACTGATGCGAGTTAATCAGTAATCATCACCGCTGCTACAAAAAGTGTGTAAATATCTCAAGATTGAAGGTGTTAAATTAATCAATAAACTTCGACTAATTTATGGTAAAATATTCTTGAATTATTCTTTACGGACCAAGTAAAAACTACAACACATCAAAAATTTTGGCACATAAAAATTTGACTCATATAAAGGTTTTAATAAAGATATATATAGAACAAAAAATCAAGACTTTTATTTTACTTTGACACATCAAGAAAATCAACAAATCGAAGTTTGACACATAGAAGTTCTACTGTAGTTAACAAAATGCTTAAATTAAGCAGATTGTAGTATATAGTCTAGTCAGACAATATAAAATTGCAGGCGGCCCTAGCTTTTTAAAAGTGTGCAGTGAAGTTGACAAATATAAATTTGCATACACAAGTGTGCCATTCAGTCAGATTATACCGAGTTGCAGGCTGACCTGGCTCTTAACATCAATTAGATTAATTATTTATCTTGTTTTTAAACCTTATTTTTTTACATATTATAATAAACCATGCCATATCGTGAATACAGTATTGTTACATGCTTTGACTTTTTTTATGCATGGTCTGAAAATGGCCACCATCAATCATCAAAATGTCAACAACAAGACTAACATGAATAACACAAGGCATTAATTTTACACCGTATACACCAGTATTCAGACACTATGAGAGTGTATTCAATTTGGCAATTATGCATCTCCGAGCGTAGATGTTGAGTAATTGGAAATGACCATCTTTGATATAAAAATTCACCAGATGCATAATTTTTTCAGAAAACACTCAGCAGGATGCGCTTATAAGACGCAAGCAGGTAGGTCACTGTCCCCTCAGGAAAGGCAAAATTTTGACCCAAGTGTTTAATTCAAACAATCTTGATACAGGTCCACCAAACAACATTTCATGTCAAATATCTAAGCTGTAGCTTTCTCTAATTCAGAAAACATTTGTAAGTTTTAGTTTCTGTTTTTACTATGTGTACATAATGAAAATCAATGCCCCCGTGCAGGGCCAATTTAACACCAGGGGCAAAATTTGAACAACTTTGGTAGAGGACCTATAGATGATATCATATAGCAAACATCAAAGCTCTAAGCCTTGTACCTTCAGACAAGAGGATTTTTAATTTTTTACTGTATGTACATAGTGAAAACAGAGACATAGATCTATGTCTTTGGTGAAAATCAATGACCCCGGGGTTGGGCCAATTTTGACCCCAGGGCTATAATTTGAACAATCTTGGTAGAGGTTCACTACGCAAAGTCTCATGCCAAATATCTAACCTCTGGCCTTTGTCAATTCAGAGAAGAAGATTTTTCAGTTTTTACTATATACATATAAGGAAAACTATCACCTCGCAGGGCAATTTTAACACTAGGGGCATAATTTAAACAACTTTGATAGAGGACCCATAGATGATATTATATACCAGATATCAAAGCTTTAAGCCTTGTTCCTTCAGACAAGAAGATTTAAAAAAATTTTACCCCAGGGCTATAATTTGAACAATCTTGGTAGAGGTTCACTACACAATGTTTCATGCAAAATATCTAACCTCTAGCATTTGTCAATTTCAAGAAGATGATTTTTTTAAGTTTTTACTATATACATATAAGGAAACCTATGACCCCGGGGTGGGGCTAATTTTGACCCCAGGGCTATAATTTGAACAATCTTGGTAGAGGTCTACCAGACAATGCCTTATGCAAAATATCTATGCTCTAGGTCTTGTGGGTATTTACAAGAAGATTTTTAAAATTTATTCTTATGATTCCTTTTGGTTGCCATGGCAACCAGATTTCTGCATAGAATGAAATTCTTTGAACAACTTTGGAAGCCCTTCACCCAAGGATCAATCCTGACAAGTTTGGTTGAAATTGGACAAGTGGTTTTTCACAAGAAGATTTTTTAAGTTCACTATATAATCTATATAACACACATACAAACAAACACACACACACACAGGTGAATTTGCTATATGCCACCGCATCGCAGATGCTGCGTCGGCATAAAAACAAAATTGATGAACACAGAAATGATAATAAGGTATCATACCTCAACAAGATAGTCAAACATTTTTGAATACAATGCCTTGGCTAGTGCATCTCGTGTAAACTCTGCCTGTTCTACATTCAATGTCACCTCTATACTCTCAGATTTACCTCCCCATTTACTGTCCATTTTACGACTTGTCAACTTGACTTGTAACATATCTTGTTGTATCCCAAACAAGTATGCAGGAAAGTCAAGGACTGAAATATATCAATAAATGCGTCTATATAATACCTATAAATCATACATGTGAACTTTTTTTTGATGATCAAGCTGGAGTTTTTTTGTTGAAAAAAGAGGGAGATTTAGAATTTGCAATATACAAAGAAGAAAGTTCTGACATCAAAGAGGGAGATTTCTTTAATTTGTGAAAATACCCCTTATTTTAAGAAAAATCTTTCAAAATATGGCTGCTGAAAGTGGGAGTTTCCCACTAAAAGTGGGAAAGTTCACATGTATGCTATAAATATCTTTTACTTCATTTTAAGAAATATTTTATTGATATATATAATATTTTTACATAACACAAAAATTTCATTTTCCACCTGTCTATATGCAAACATTTTGGTTCAAAAAAAATATTGATAACGAGACCCAAAATAAAGACATCAAAATTATAATTATTTATATTTGTCGTAAATTTAAGGTATGTATACAGAACGGTCATAACTCCCTTCATGTTTACTTTTGGTACTTTTGGTTTATTGACATTGTATTATCTTCACATTTTTTATGGTCCCTGTGACTATTTTCATTTTTGAAAGAATATATTTTCAAACATTGTATGGGAACTAATCTTAAGACAAAATTAATACAGTTGGAGAAGTGTTCTGTTTCTTTAACATGTATGTCTTTTGCCAAAGACTTCAATTTCATCTATCTTTACTTCACAGAAAATTTTCCTGCCAAGTTACAGCAACATCCAGCCAAATTTAGAATGATTTATATGTAGTTCTTATTACAATAATGTTAACACTTTTGAGCTCACAATCAATATCAACTTATTTGTTTGGCTGAAAATTACACATGTTTTATGTAACAATGGAATTGTCAATATCCTGTGTTACAGTGTATATGGAGGAATATCCCAAAAGTGCATTGTCTCTGGAACAAGAAAGCACCAGGGCAGTACTTCCCCAAATTTAGTAACAGATTATATAAATAAATGACATAAACTTACAGCCAGCATCAGCTATTGCAGCATAGTTTCCATTTTCAACAAACTGTAAATTTCCCAAGTGTAAAATACCTGCCACCAATGACATGATATCTTCTCGTGTTTGGTCATCTATACCCACCACCTGCATAGCATGCTGAAAGAAGACAAGAAGTCAGCTTTAACCCATTACTTCATGAGCATTTTGTGAAAAATGGCTGTTTTCATTGAAAAGTCTCCCGTTACAAGTTCAAATTGCTATAATACTATAAAAACTGCTTCAACACTAATCAAACTTGGCACAAATGTTGACTGGACCATTGCACTTGCAACAACATGCTCAGGCTTAAATTTTCTGTTACCATGGCAACGAGGGGACATCTCAAAATTGCCAAAAATCACTATTTTGCGTTGATTTTTTCCATCAAAATTGATTTCAAAGTGCTGCACTTTCTCAATGGATTGAGATAGAGTCAAATGCTTTTCAGCGTTGGTAACACGTTACCTTATGATCAATCTGGGGTCATTTACAGCCTCTCACAAGTCCAAAATTTTTCTTGGCGATGAGGGGGACTCCGCCCCCCTTCAAACCCCCAAAACAGAAGGGGCCCCATCCCCCTTCTGGCAACCCCTGATGTATCTTTTGGTTGGGGGGCCGCGCGAAAAAGAGGTCACTTTTTTTAACAACATTTCTCAAACAAAAACAAGTGTTTGGGGCCTAAATAAGGCATTTTTTCATCATTTGAGACAACAAAAAGGGGGGGGGGTGAAAAAGGCGTTAAAAGGCGTGTATATGAAGTAATGGGTTAACTGAAAATGATAAAAATACTTGAAATTACCCTAAATCGCTTTTTTTCATGTTTAAACATGGCCTGTCATATAAATTTGAAGAAACATTGTTGTTTTGTAGATTTTTTTATTTTTTTTCATTAACCCATTACTTCATGAGCATTTTGTGAAAAATGGCTGTTTTCATTGAAAAGTCTCCCGTTACAAGTTCAAATTGCTATAATACTATAAAAACTGCTTCAACACTAATCAAACTTGGCACAAATGTTGACTGGACCATTGCACTTGCAACAACATGCTCAGGCTTAAATTTTCTGTTACCATGGCAACGAGGGGACATCTCAAAATTGCCAAAAATCACTATTTTGCGTTGATTTTTTCCATCAAAATTGATTTCAAAGTGCTGCACTTTCTCAATGGATTGAGATAGAGTCAAATGCTTTTCAGCGTTGGTTACACGTTACCTTATGATCAATCTGGGGTCATTTACAGCCTCTCACAAGTCCAAAATTTTTCTTGGCGATGAGGGGACTCCGCCCACCTTCAAACCCCCCAAACAGAAGGGGGCACATCCCCCTTCTGGCAACCCCCTGATGTATCTTTTGGTGGGGGCCGCGCCGAAAAAGAGGTCACTTTTTTTAACAACATTTCTCAAACAAAAACAAGTGTTTGGGGCCTAAATAAGGCATTTTTTCATCATTTGAGACAACAAAAAGGGGGGGGGTGAAAAAGGCGTTAAAAGGCGTGTATATGAAGTAATGGGTTAACTGAAAATGATAAAAATACTTGAAATTACCCTAAATCGCTTTTTTTCATGTTTAAACATGGCCTGTCATATAAATTGAAGAAACATTGTTGTTTTGTAGATTTTTTTATTTTTTTCATTAACCCATTACTTCATGAGCATTTTGTGAAAAATGGCTGTTTTCATTGAAAAGTCTCCCGTTACAAGTTCAAATTGCTATAATACTATAAAAACTGCTTCAACACTAATCAAACTTGGCACATATGTTGACTGGACCATTGCACTTGCAACAACATGCTCAGGCTTAAATTTTCTGTTACCATGGCAACGAGGGGACATCTCAAAATTGCCAAAAATCACTATTTTGCGTTGATTTTTTCCATCAAAATTGATTTCAAAGTGCTGCACTTTCTCAATGGATTGAGATAGAGTCAAATGCTTTTCAGCGTTGGTTACACGTTACCTTATGATCAATCTGGGGTCATTTACAGCCTCTCACAAGTCCAAAATTTTTCTTGGCGATGAGGGGGACTCCGCCCACCTTCAAACCCCCCAAACAGAAGGGGGCACATCCCCCTTCTGGCAACCCCCTGATGTATCTTTTGGTTGGGGGCCGCGCCGAAAAAGAGGTCACTTTTTTTAACAACATTTCTCAAACAAAAACAAGTGTTTGGGGCCTAAATAAGGCATTTTTTCATCATTTGAGACAACAAAAAGGGGGGGGGGGGTGAAAAAGGCGTTAAAAGGCGTGTATATGAAGTAATGGGTTAACTGAAAATGATAAAAATACTTGAAATTACCCTAAATCGCTTTTTTTCATGTTTAAACATGGCCTGTCATATAAATTGAAGAAACATTGTTGTTTTGTAGATTTTTTTATTTTTTTCATTAACCCATTACTTCATGAGCATTTTGTGAAAAATGGCTGTTTTCATTGAAAAGTCTCCCGTTACAAGTTCAAATTGCTATAATACTATAAAAACTGCTTCAACACTAATCAAACTTGGCACAAATGTTGACTGGACCATTGCACTTGCAACAACATGCTCAGGCTTAAATTTTCTGTTACCATGGCAACGAGGGGACATCTCAAAATTGCCAAAAATCACTATTTTGCGTTGATTTTTTCCATCAAAATTGATTTCAAAGTGCTGCACTTTCTCAATGGATTGAGATAGAGTCAAATGCTTTTCAGCGTTGGTAACACGTTACCTTATGATCAATCTGGGGTCATTTACAGCCTCTCACAAGTCCAAAATTTTTCTTGGCGATGAGGGGGACTCCGCCCCCCTTCAAACCCCCAAAACAGAAGGGGCCCCATCCCCCTTCTGGCAACCCCCTGATGTATCTTTTGGTTGGGGGGCCGCGCGAAAAAGAGGTCACTTTTTTTAACAACATTTCTCAAACAAAAACAAGTGTTTGGGGCCTAAATAAGGCATTTTTTCATCATTTGAGACAACAAAAAGGGGGGGGGTGAAAAAGGCGTTAAAAGGCGTGTATATGAAGTAATGGGTTAAAGGCACTGATCCATCAGAGCAAAATACTTAACAAGGTCACTTTTCTACTGATAAATCATGTTTTATGCTTATCTACATTAATGCCATCATTTTTGTCATTATTCTAATTTGGTATAAATTTGAAATGTTCACAAACTTAGACATATAATTTTTCTGCAAGTTTTTGATTAGACAAGGAATTTATCAAGTGTGACAGTGACATTGACCTTTAACCTCAATATCAACAAAGGTCACCAACTGGCCATGGGTAATGTCCCTACAAAGTTTAACAACCTTACTAGGCTTATTGCTCATGAATAATTAAGTAATTTGCAATAATCAATACATACTTTTGTAATATAATAAAACCCTTGATATCAGTAGAACTATCCAACTTTTCTAAAAAGACAAACAATGGATCTGGACAAAATGGACTTTATTATAATTATTATAAACACAGGCTATAAAACAACTTTTGAAGATTCAAGTTTCAAGAACCTCTGATGCACCATTTAAAGTATAGGTCAGAACCTAAGCAAAAGAAATTGACCTTTCATAAAAATGCTGTATAGCTTCCTCATTGTAAATTTTCAAGATTACCCACAGAAATCAAAACCAAAGTCGTAAGGCATGCAATTTAACTATGTAGATATTTGTAGATAATTCTCTGTTTTCTTGTTCTTTTTAATAAATTGGCAAATAGCCATAAACTTACCATAGTATCTCTAAATTCTTTGACATCATCTATTCCATCAACACTAAATGCACCACTCTGGTTCAAATAACAGTAATAATCGGGGTTGGCGATACCCATTTGTTCTGAAATATATATACAACAAGTGTACAAAACTCAGCCTTATGGCTCCTATCTCTTTCTATCTTTTTCATTTTATGTTTTAAATATAATTATGTAAAAGTAAAAAATATGAAAATTACTAAAGGAAATGTTATAACAAACAAGTTAATTTGTTGAGTTGATATTCTCCAGTGCATATTACAAAGTCATTGGGTATAATTCACATTTTACTTAGACCTTAAGATACAAGAGAAAATCACATTGTTTAGCTATGACAAAAATCCTACAAAATTGTGCTTGTCAAGCAATTTAACTTTTACTAGTGGATGATTTTTCCAGAACAGGTGCTATAATTATGAAACTGATGATAAAGAACATATCATAAGATAATCCCTCAAAACAAATAATGGACAGTGAGGCTGAAGTCAGGTTGAGTAGGAGAGCTCTCTATAGTCTATAAATGTAAAGTCTTAGTACAGTATAATTACCTTTCTGTGTTTTATCTGTACCAGCACACAGCTGATAAAATATGTGGAAATTTCTTTCATCTAGATTCTGGCTGACTACTCTTGACTGAAAACATTGCAAAAATTAAACTTTTTACACTGATGTGTAGCACAAAAACTCACCATCCAAAATGTAATGGAGATAAACAGCATTTAAATAAATGAGGAGGACTTTACAGGTTGGTAATTTTACAGGTTGGTAATTTTACAGGTTGGTAATTTTACAGGTTCCCAATGCTTACTTTAGACCAGTGCTGGACAAGATAATAACTTTTATACAAAACAAAGTCAATAGTCACATTCAATGTCATCTATGGTAATGGTGATTTTGAAGTTAAAAGTTTCTACTTTTGATCTATGAGTCAAACATCACATACAAACAGTACCTGAGGCAAAAATTTAAACAAGCACATATTTTAAAAAAAGCTTTGAGTAATCTGCCATTAAAATTGACCTAAAAGATCTAAAACCTCACTTTCAGAGGCAGATAACTCTAAATGTAGGATGGTTACCCCCAAGTTTTTATTATTTTATTTTATTTTTTTATTTAACTTTTGATGGGTCTGGTAAGAAATGCTATAAACCAATCATCTTTACTCTGGGCCTGGCAGTTTCTGAAAACTTGTTTTTTAACAATTATTTTCCTTTACAAGTCTGTGTAACAAAACTGAACCAAAAGTTAAACCATTTTTGACCATGGAACATGATTTATATAATTTTAATTAAAAAAGATTTTCATATAATACACTATTCTACTTTTTAGCTTCTGTGACTAAAATATGAAACAGAACCATCTGAACAACTTTGGTAGAGCTTTATGCAAAGAAAAAGATCAAGTTACATAATAGACATCATTTGTAACAATGGTAAACAATAGGCAAACAATGACAGCTCACTGACCACAATGTGTTCAGGTAAACTAACAAGTCACTCAATGACAACTTTTCTATAACTATAATGATTATTATAGTATGTATGTAGTTGATCTTAATGAGGGTCCATTACGGCATAAAATGCAGCTTTCACTGTCGAGTACCGACCCTATATTTTTTTTGGCAACCACAATTTCTTCAAAACTTCTGCCAGTGCCCTGTGTTTCTCAAAAACATATTAGCACTGAGGGGAAGAGAAAGTTGTAGTTATAAGATCTTTTGATAGCTTTTATAGAACTGTAAAATTAATGACATATCTTACTGATCAATAAAATCACTTAATGTCTGACTAGTTCTATAGCTATTACTGTGTAACAGAACTTACCTTCTCAAGAAGAAAGTTTGATATTTTCCCGCCATCTGGTTCACCACCGCGACTAAACTGAATCTCTACATATTTTCCCTGTAATATTAATACAATCTGTAAAGCGTAAGTACATAAGTAAAATCAGGTGTGATTAAATTCAAGTGACCCTTTTCTTTATTGAAATAATTTGAATGGTAAAGAAATATTTCAATAAATGTGACTGATTTTATGATTATAGAAAGATTCTTATAATGTAATTCAGAGTATTTTTAGTTTCCTATTGTTAGTTTCCTATTGCATTTGCAATACACTCTAATAAAAAAAACTTTCCACTTCTAAGACCAAGATAGCTATTAATTATGCTAACCATTAAAATATTACATGACAGACTTATCTATATATATGTATGTGTCATATACAATTAGATAGTTTAACAGCAATACATTTTGATAACAATATTTTTGGCATAACTATACTTACAAATCTACTTGAATTGTTGTTTCTCACAGTTTTAGCATTACCAAATGCTTCCAAAAGAGGGTTAGACTCTAGTATAATATCTTTTACTCTCTGAAAAAATAAAGTCATCAAAATATAAATGACATTGTAAGACAAGAGATGGTACAAAGTTAGTTAAGTAAGTTTTAAAGTTTTAAACTAAACATGACAGCTGAGTTTGAACAAGCTAATTGGTTGAGATGATATCCCTTGGCTTATAATATAAATCACTTTATTGAAGTTGATAAGTATATTATTATACTTAGCTTTACAAAATATCTTTTTTTAAATTTTGAAATTAAAAACAGTGCAGTCTGAAGGACGGCTTTATATCCCCTGCCAGTGCTGCCACATTAGCTTTTTAACCTTTACCTTGAAGTATGAATATGACCTTGAATGCAGCAATCTGGTTTTTGAGCTTTGCATATTGGTGATCATTTTGGCCAAAGTTTTTTTTTCTTTAAAAATTGTTATGATACAGAAGTGAAATGTGGACTATCAATATTTGACCTGTAAACCTAAGGATCATTTTTGTAGACTTGTGGGTTAGATAAATATGTACTAGACAAGAGGGCAATTACGGGATATTCCACTAACGGTAAGTTTCCCAATCTCTGCTTACCTGTACAGTTGCTCCTCCACCGGAAACCTTTGATATGTAACTCATGATGAACTTGGCAGCCACTGTTTTCCCAGCTCCTGACTCTCCACTATATATATATCAATATATATCATTTATATCATTATAAATTCAACAATTTTACATAAAGTAAGTGGTTACTGGTATATGTATATACTATAGCTACTTAACAATACTTAAAAAGAGTTAACAATAGCCCTTAATTGCACGTTTGTGACATTTATATAATTATTTTCTCAATATTAGAAATCTTCCTCAAAAGAATCATTCCAGAATAAAGACATTTAATTTCTGAATATTCTCAAAGAATATACATCTTTCATTAAAGGGACTCCACTGAAGCATTTTGATATGACAGGACTTTACATATTATTCAGAGATTTGTGTACCATTAGATGAAGGTCTGGACAATTAACTTGTATACAAATGTTCACATCATTCCCTCACCCTGTTCTTCCAGAATAATCATTGTTATTGTGCAAACTGACCAAAATATGACATGCACTTCAATGCTTTTCACTCAAATCGGGTTACCAGTTGCACAAAATATCAATATCCAATTAAATTCCGAGTATATTTTTTTATAATTATCCTTTCAACCGCAGGATTTTTACATTTGAATGTTTCGCCTAACCTACATAAAAATTTCAAATCTTATGTTGTTTTTTTTTTCAGTGACGCTCCTTTAAGTCCAGATTTTCTTATTTTCTTAGAACTTAATAATAATAATAATAATAATAATAATATTGAATAATTTCTTGTCATACTAACTTATCTAAAATAGTTTTATGTTTATCATAGAGCATAATGGATTGTTTTGGGTGAATATGACATGACTTATTGAGAAGTGAGTAAATTACAATATTTGTTACAAGTATTCATATTTTCTCACTATCATGTGAGGTATTTCATATTCTATTATTTTCTTTATATTTTTCCTACTACAATTTAATTGAAGAGATGAAAACAAGTGCACATAAAGGAAATGATGTCAGAATGATGTTCAACAGCTGCACATACAGACTTATTTAAGTTTGTCGTCATCATTGTGGTATACCTTTCTACAATTTTAGTGAAGTAAAGATATTTTACTAGAAAAAAAATGCAAAAGTACAAATATTTATGATTTTTATACTGTGCATATATTATGAAATATTATGTAAAGGGCATCAAATGATATTGCTGTATATAGACTAAAAAGATCAGGGCGCACAATCACCACAGTTAGTTTGTGACACACATTTCACAGTTACACCATGCCAAGTTAAAAATGTTGGTCTGAAGAGAAACCTACCTGATAATAACATGAAACCTACCTGATAATAACACTAAACTCACCTGATAATAACACTAAACTCACCTGATAATAACACTAAACTCACCTGATAATAACACTAAACTCACCTGATAATAACACATTGGTTTTCCATGTCAATCATCATGTTTCTATACATGTTGTCAGTTAAAGCATACACATGTGGTGGATTCTCATACTGGGCCTGAAATAAAACAAAAGGGTCATTATGGCAAAAGATCATTCACTAAAGATTATTAGAAAAGGTCAATCATTTTTCTATGCAGAATATGGTCAATGGGTTCAATGTCAATAAAGAGAAGCAAACAAACCAAATTTTAAGATTAAACTTAAAATGTTGAACACACTTGATGTTAATCTTGATCATCATATAACAATATCATATATTAAATTGTACTAAACATTTTGGTCAGAGGAGTTTTAATTTTTATCAGTTCAAAAGATACAGAGCTGAAATTCATACAAAATGACTTAGTGTGACCTTGACCTGAGGAAACTCAAACCTGTGCTTTGCACGTCGTCCCATTATGGGTAACATTTCTGCCAAGTAGATTCAATTTCCTTCCACTGGAGACCAGACATAATATTGCTAACAGACTAATAGACAGACAACAAGGTGCATAACAATTTATGACGAAATTTTTTCAGGGGTATAAAAAGAACTTCATGACACAATTCTTAGCCTTACAGTTACATGTAGTTAGAAAGTTATTCATTTGGATTTGCCACCATAGAAAAGATAAATCAAGAAAAGATAACTTACAGCTCCCTGATACTGGTCAATTTCTTTCTCTGTGTAGATATTCAAAGCCTTGAATGGATTCAGAGATACCAAAACAGGTCCTATATATGTCTGAGAACAAATGTTAAGGCTTTTTTTTTAATGTCGTCATGTTCAATAATTTCAAGAACAATTGGATGTTCATTAATAACTATTACAGTGATTTGGTTCCATAGAAATATTGAAAACAACAAATGCCAATGCAACAGTTAATGTTAAAATGTGTAGAAATTTGTGCAGGAGGTATGGGGGCTGTTTAAGGCCCCCCGCCCACCTGCAGGTCCAGCGCGGACCTCTGCTGAGGGTCCAGGACCAGCCAGCAAGTCCCTTAAAACTCTGACAGTTTCACTTCTTTGAAAGAGTTCTTGACATAAAAATCTTCTCAATTTATATCAAAATTACGAGAACTTCCAGCTAGTATAGTTTGCAAATATTCATAAATACTAGCCATTACTTCTACACATTTACAATATAATAACTTCATACTATTCAGAAACTGTTTTTTTTTCATATGACAATTATAAGATTTTAACAAACAATTAAGTGATAAGTACATTGTATGCATTTCTGGTGTCTGATTAAGAAAACACATGCTATATTTGCTAAATGATGTAAACAATGCACTGTATTTTTGATGTTTATGATAATATCAAGCAAGGTTAGGATTATTAAGAACTTTAAGCAAGTCATGCATACAACAGTACATGTATGTCTCATAATGGTGAACATCTGTTTCAATTACTCACAGTAGAGCAACAACCTCTTTCCAACAACAATGTCAATTTTTCTTAAAGATAGATTTTACAATATATTTAACCTCAAAGGGTTCTACTATAATAACTCCATATAGCTGTACGAGATGCTTAAGACAAAATCTACAAATAAAATAATCCCTTGTGTCACTGTGACCTTAACCATGCATATATTGACCTTAAGTGTGTGTATCTTGGTGAACATTTGTGATAGATCTCTCAATCTGTGATGACTAAATGATCCTTAAATACATTTTCATATTTATGGTATGACCTTTGAATCTTAAGTGTAACCTTGACCTTGGCCATTTGGATCTGAAATTTAGGTCTGACACTCCCAAGCATTTGTGTCAAATTGTATTAAAATTTCTCAGTATGAAAAGAACTTATGCTATTGACAAGCATTTTCCTCTGACCTTTCAGGGTTACCTTGACCTTTGACCTAAAGACCTGTGAAATAATGTGACAATACATCTCATAATAATGAACATTTCAACCAAGTAATGCTAAAATCCATTAATGTAGAAGATATGCTACTAGAAAAATCTGGAATCTCTAATCACCTTGACCTTGCATATATAGACCTGAATAAGGTGTGTTACACTCTCATGATGGTGACCTTTGTGGAAGAACCCCTCAATTCATGATGACCCAATGGTCCATTCATAATATTATCTCTTCTTTTACTAAAGCATGTGATATTTAACATGTAACACCAAGATTTACAATGGTGAACAAATTTATGTGCCAAGTTATATTAAAATCCCTCAATCCATGTAAAACTTTGCATCAGACAAGCTCTAAGTGCAACACTGACCTTTGACCTAATTAATGTTTGTGACACTACATCTCATGATAATAATAATAAGTAACACTATAATTCCTCCATGCATATAATTGCTAACAACATCACTAGATGTTAACTGGCTACCATGACCATTCCTATAATAGACCATTTTTTCAAAGAAGTGTATTGTACTTTGTTAGCCCAGGGATGTGACTTAGAAGACTAGAAACAATGTCTGTAAATGAATTAAAACAAAAGGCTTGCATTTGGATCAGTAGCAGTAACTGTTAAAGCTTAAACAAATAATCTAGCTAACATCTAACTACTACACTACACTATTTGGAAAGTCGTCTCAATCCTAAAAGGAGTCCTTTTTGTCACATTCTTATTTAAATTGATCCATGTCCATTTATTATTGCCTGGAATATTGACCTGAGAGTGATGACATTTTGGGAGAGTTTCATTAGTTTACACATCTGTAAGTATAGCAAGTACAGTTTTTGATGGGTTTTTTTTTTCTATTGGATTATACTTTCAATACAGCATAGTGGTAACTATGTTGGAATTTGTAATCACAATGCTGCAAGTTGGAATCCTCTATAATACATTCATTTTAAACAATTCTTTCACTATTTCATTTTCTTTACAAATATAAACAGCATGAGTGGATATCATATATTGTTTGCTTTATTTCATGTTTTATTTTATTTTGTCTTAATTTCAAAGTTTTTGAATTAATTTTTTACATTAATGTATTAATCAATCTTATTAAATACCTGACACAGTAAAGTAAGACAAAACTATGAAAAAATATTCAATTATGATATACATGTAACTATATTTCTGTATAAGAAAGCACTCTCAAATGTTCAAATATTTTTCCACCACATAATATGTATGTGGCCATGTCAATTAAAGTTAAAGATCCTGTAACACAATTTTTTTATGGTTTTAAATCATAAATATGATGCTCAAATTAAGATTTATCAATAATATAGGTTCCAAACAGCATTATTTATAAAGATATTACCAAATTTAACATTTCATGTAAATAAAGGAAGGTAATAAAAAATTTATTTTCTATAAAGTTTTGGTAAAATTTTACAATAAGAAATGAATGCATATATTTTAATGATTACATATAATATGCACAAATATTTGCAGTACATATTTTACATATTCTTTGATGTTTGAAAATTGTTTTATTTGCATAATTATGTACATATATATAATTTAACTTAGTGTGGTGTACCACTTTGATCACAACATACAGGATCTTTAAACAAAAATTCCTATTCTATAATGGAATAAACAACTATTTGTAAACTGAAGTAATGAAAATGATAAGAGCAAGAGGTATACAAAGTTTAAAGTAAAATTATAAATTCAAAGAAGACATAACTCTTGAAAAAAACTCTTGAAATAAAGATGCTATAGTTATGAACCTTGTCATAAGAGATGTGAGTAACAGAACAAAATTATCTTTAGTCTCAAGTAGATAACATTTATAATAATAAAAATAACATTTGAGTTATGAATATTGTCACGTAAGATGTGGTTGATGATAAGGAACATATATTTGAAGTTGATACTTTAAGACTAAAGAAATTAAGTAAGCAAGAGGGCCTGAGTCACTCACCAGAAACGACTGCTTTTCAGAGTTGGAAATTATCCATTGTCAATATTTTCAGATATTTAATTTGAGCATAGAATATGTTTAAACAATAATTTGAAATGGGGCATTAATTTTAAGCTTTAGCTTAAACGGCGCCAATCAAATTAATATGAGCAAACTTGATAAAAGACTACAATGCTACAAAGTTTGGTGATCATCTATCAATTATTTCAGTAGGAAATGTTCAAAGATTTTTCTATTTTTGGCTTTAGTGGCCCCTAAAAGGGGCCAATCAAATTAATAAATTGAGCAAACTTGATAAAAGCGTACCTAAGAATGCTACAGACAAAGTTTGGTGATCATCCATCAATTAGTTCTCTAGAAATAGACGTTTAAAGGTATTTCTATTTTTACTTTTGGCGGCCCCTTAAAGGGGCCAATCAAATTAATATGATCAAAATTACTAAAAGACTACTAAAGAATGCTACAGACAAAATTTGGTGATCATTCTTCAATAAGTTCTATAGAAGATGTTTAAAGGTTTTTCTATTTTTAGCTCTAGAGACCCCTAAAAGGGGCCAATCAAATTAATATGATCAATCTTGATAAAAGACTACCCACGAATGCTACATACAAAGTTTGATGATCATCCATCAATTAGTTCTGTAGAAATAGATGTTTAAAGATATTTCTATTTTTAGCTTTAGGTGCCCCTTAAAGGGGCCAATCACATTAATATGAGCAAACTTGATATCAGACTACCCAAGAATGCTACAGACAAAGTTTGGTTATCATCCATTCATTAGTTCTGTAGAAAAAGACATTTAAATGTTTTTCTATTTTTAGCCCTAGAGACCCCTAAAAGGGGCCAATCAAATTAATATGAGCAAATTTGATAAAAGACTACCCAAGAATGCTACAGACAAAGTTTGGTGATCATCCATCCATTCGTTCTGTAGAAGAAGATGTTTAAAGGTTTTTCTATTTTTAGCTCTGTTGACCCCTAAAAGGGGCCAATTGAAATGACATAAGCAAATTCAAGTGTGACTGTCACAAGGATGCTACAGACCAAATTTGAAGTAAATCTGCTTAGTAGTTTCAGAGAAGAAGACGACTGTTGAAGCATGACGACGGACGACGGAGTATCCCCCTTTGATACTAATAGCTCACCCTGAGCTAAAAATATTTTACTACACAAAAACTTTTGTTGCACAAAAAATTCTGGATGTGAATGCTGGAGTGAGTACTCACTCTGGACAGCTCTCCATATATTTTGTATAGTCAAGCTAAAAATTAAAAGAAAATGATTTTATGATTCCGTAAAATTCAAATAAAATTGTCATTGAAGCCAGTGAGGTACATATACCATTGAGTCATCATACTTTAAAGTCTGTATGATTTACTTTGGAATCTGATATTATGGATATGCCAGCCAATAATTAAAGGATTTATACCCAAAAATGTAAAATCAATCACCTTGACCTTGTGACCCCAAACTCCACCAAAAGCATTGGTGACCTTGAACTTAAACTCGGTAGTGCCTGGCTGCACTATAATTAGAAAAAAATCATTGGAGTACCTATCAAATATGATAGACAAGCTGTATGAACAAAAGTGTAAAAATCTATTTTAAGCACCGGTGATTTTGATGTGAATAAAAGATAAAATCACAATCAAAAGGGTGGTCAAGTCATCATTTTCACGAATGACCTTGAAAAAAGGCAATTTCGTGGAAATAATCTTGATATAATATAATGTCTTCACAGCCATATGTGGCTATTCCTTTTTTCAGTTTGGTTAAATGGAAAATATATTGGCTAGTTGGAAATCCTGCCAAAGTATCCACAACTTAATGCACAATTCTGTGTTACTTTTTTTGCATGAATCGTGCATTATTTTCACATTCCAGTGTTACTGGATATACGAGGTAAATGTGTGTAGTATGAAACCACTGGTACAAATAAAACTGATGATAAAATTATACAACTTATCGTAAAAGCTTAACCATACCTATTTTCAAAGTGCAATGAAGGGAAAGCTCAATTTTGAAAAAAATTGGAAGCCACCACTTGGAAAATTCATGGATTTTGAAGTGGCAAGTGTGTAAATTATGAACCAATGGTACAGGTATCAAACTTGTCAGTTAATGTTAACCTTGGACAAAGGAACAGACAGACAAGAAGGTTTAATCACTATCATCATTATACTATATGCCCTGGGGCACAAAAATGCCTTATTTCAAAATACTACAATAAACAAGAGCGATCAGTGATCACATGTGTCGCCTCATGATGGCCAATTTCATGTTGGGACAAGTTTTGTGACAGACGGACAGACAGACGGACAGTGCACAACTAGACTTGGTACTGATCATTCCTGTAAAGTTTGGATAAAATTGCACCAGTAGTTTATGAGGAGTAGTCCAGACAAGCTTTTGTGTATCTGGCAACACACAGAAAAAAACACCTTTTTATCAAAGGGCCATAACTCGGCCAAAAATCATTCAACCGGAAAACCCGTGCAATATGCGCAAGGACTTGAGCTACAGATCAATCCTGTAAAGTTTCATTGAAATTGCATTAGTAGTATAAGAGAAGTAGTCCGGACAAACTTTAAAAATAAAAATTATTAAAGGGCCATAACTCTGACAAAAATCATTGAACCGGAAAATGCTGACAATATGCACAACAAGACTTGGTACTGATCATTCCTGTAAAGTTTGGATGAAATTGCACCAGTAGTTTATGAGGAGTAGTCCGGACAAGCTTTTGTGTATCTGGCAACACACAGAAAAAAACACCTTTTTATCAAAGGGCCATAACTCGGCCAAAAATCATTCAACCGGAAAACCCGTGCAATATGCGCAAGGACTTGAGCTACAGATCAATCCTGTAAAGTTTCATTGAAATTGCATAAGTGGTATAAGAGAAGTAGTCCGGACAAACTTTAAAAATAAAAATTATTAAAGGGCCATTACTCTGACAAAAATCATTGAACCGGAAAATGCTGACAATATGCACAACTAGACTTGGAACTGATCATTCCTGTAAAGTTTGGATGAAATTGCACCAGTAGTTTATGAGGAGTAGTCCAGACAAGTTTTGTGACGGACGGACAGACGGACGTTCTCACAGGACAGTAATTATGTGGCTACTCTATTGTTCTCTCTATTGTTCTTTTTAGCCACACAAAAGAAAATAGCCACATAAAAGCATTACGGAATAATGACATCAAAGAGAAAGAACAGTAACCTATTGTCCCTCTAGCCACATAATTACTGTCCTGTGAGCGCGGACGGACGGACAGACGGACAGACAGACTTGTTTTTTCCATAATAAACTAGTGGATATATAGTATAACTAAAAGGATACATATATAGTATCATCCATGAACCTCTTCTTCAAGTTATCCACAATACCCGACTCAGAGATCTTCTGAAGCAGGACCATGTCATCCACCCCACTTGTCTTGACATTGTGGCTCTGCCAATGGTATGGCTGTAAAGACAACAACAAATTATGTCACACAAATAAAGCCTTAACATTTATCCTGCTCAAATTAAGTCAAGGATTTGCCTGACTTTAAACAGTCCATTTAGAGTTTAAAGGATTTAAAAATCAAATACAACAAGAGGACAGCAACGCTCGACAATTAGAGGGTGTTTCATCGAGTATAATAATACTTACCTATATGAATACATAAAATTGTCCCAAAAAGGTATATAGGCTTCATAAAATTGTGACAAGAAAAGCACAAACCCTTCAGTAGTTATGGAGATACCTGAGCTCACAAGCAAAAACTTAACCAAGCATTTTTATGTCGAAAAAAAGGGCATTAAAAAAAATATATGCAAAAAAGCAATCAGAGTTATGGGACTTGTGCCAATTGTGTTAGATAATCACAGAGAACATTTGTGTGAAGTTTCAATCCATTCCCTTCAGTATTTATGGAGATACCAGCTTACAAGTAAAAACTTAACCACAAGGACGCCTACTCTGACAAATGGGTGACTGCATTAGCTTGAGTATTCTGCAAATTATTGAGCTAAAAATGAGCTACCAGAGCCTGGTTTCTATACTGATGAAAAAGGTTAATCAGAATTTTGGATCCAGCAGGTTATTAAACATTAGCCAAAGGCCAGTCAATAAAGATAAATGCAAGTGTTCTTTTATAGATAAAAAGAATGACTCTTGTCAAAACGGCCAGTCAAAAAAAATAAATGCAAGTGTTTTATATAAATGGCAAACTTTCTTGACTTTTTAAAGAAATTTGGTAATTGGAACTATATTTGTTCCAATGTCAGAGATTGTTCCATGTTCCAAATTCTGTGGTACATTTAGTTAGTTTAATCTGCAAACAACAGTGTTGATAATGGCAACGGTATATCTGATGTTTTATTAAATGTGCACATCAGTGATGAAATTAACATTCTAACACTATCGGAATTTTTTCTATATAAACAAAGAAGGCCCGAAGCGTGCATTATTCTGCAACAATGCACTCGCCGTTCTTATTATCTCCCTGTGTATTTTCACAATGAGGGCGCCATTTTGTTTGAAAAATCTGATAAATAAAAAACATTTTTTGTCGAATTTTGTTGTGGAAACTATCTAGAATGAAAGAAAATGGTCTAACTAAGAAAATTAATCCGAACACCAATATCTTTAATTCAGTCGTTAACGCTGTACAGACGTTTAAAGTGTTGTTTACATGACGTCACAATGTAGCGCCAAAAAGCACGTGCAAAACAATCAAATCAAGTACGCTATTTAATGTCGCAAACAAGTTAAGTTTTACATTTATTTCACTTTTAATAACTTGTATTTCGCTTGAAAAATCGTAGAGTGAAATAAAATAAGCAAACAAAGTTTAATCAACGTTTTCAAAATTCGTTATTCTCAAAATGTTTCTACACACGGTAGATTTAACGACAGATTTTTTCCAACCCACTGGAACAGCCTTTAAAGAACGTTTCTGTTGGAAACTCTTAGGCGAAAACAAATTTAACCACCAAACATAAAGTCCAACTTTATCATGATAATTATATTTTTTCTTGACGTGTTAGCATGGAAATAGATATAAATTCTTTGTGCATTATTGTATAATAATGCACGTTTTTCGTTCAAATACTTTGTAATTAATCACTCAGGCCTATCGGCCTTTGTGATTATATTACTACGCATTTGTACTCAAACCGTGCATTATTCTACAACAATGCACTCAGAATTGATATCTATTTCCTAAATTAAACCTGGTAATTTTAAATAGGTCACGGTATCACAGTAATAGGACAAAATCTGCAGATTGTCATGTAAATTTGTTAAATTTTCAACTAAACATCTCAAATAATTGTGAGTGAATCATCCGTATAATTCATTAAGTGGGAGTGAAATGTCTCAGGAGGGAAATATCTAATTAGTGAAAAGTCTTGGGACAGAAATGTCTGACATTCCATTAATGCTGACTAATAAACACTAAATTATCTAAAGTTCCAGATAAAATTGAAAAGAAGTAAGTCGACTACATGTTTTTGTTCTTTAATTATGATAACTGATATCATGTATTGGAATAGCCTTCCATATCAGGTCAAATCCAGTCCCAGCCTAGATACCTTCAAGGATAGTCTGGCGACAGTCACCTTCTAGTCCCCTCCCCAGTATGTTTTTAATCTTGCACTATTCTTTTTATCCTGAACCTTTTTTATCTGTGATCTTTATCTTTTAGTATGCACTAATTCTTTTAACACAGTTTTCCTGACAAGGGCCTCCCAGTCATAGTCAGAATTGATTGTTCGGGAGTAACATGTAGATGTAGATGTATATTGTAATCATGATAATTGATAAAATGGTAAAACAATTAATTAAAGTCTAGCTCAAACTGTCTAACAGGTAAAAAAAAATATGAATTCATCTTCCTGCTGTATTTAAGAAAGATGATGCATGCACACGAGGGAATATATTATTTAAGTTAACACAAAACTTTTCAAGTTATCATTCAAAGTTAAACATTTCTGACAGGCCTTAATCTTTTGTATACAGTATACATGCCTCATTTGCGGAAGTGTTTCACGATAGTATAAACTGATGTAAAAACTTACCATTTTTAGCAATTGAACGGTCTATATGTTAATTAAAAACCTCCGAAATGAATGTCATCCATAAATTTTAGTGTGGAATCGGTGTCATCATTATCTGTCAAATTATACTTGCGAAATTCAAAGTAATCAACAGGTAAAAATTGTCAGCATTTACTTCCGATTCAGTGTTTGACAGAAACAGGAAATTGATAACATTTGATTTGACGCATGCGCAGATAGTCATCAACAGGTGTGGTCTATGCAAAATAATACAGCACGTTGTATATTATTTGCAATATGATCAAAAATCATATCTTTCGACCATAAAAATTAAATTGCATCGATTTTTAACAAATAAATTAAATGAATCGGACATATGTTTTTATATTATTACATGTTACATAAAGCTCTGTTTAATGGGTAGAGCTCTAAATATATACTGTATATAATTAATATACATAATTTAAACCGTAAAAAATACACTTTTGGAGATTTTCCTCACCACCATTCTATCCATTCATCTTAGTGAACTAGAGATTAGTTATTTTGTTTATTGTCTAAGTGTTGATTGTGGTGGGTTTTCATTTTACGTTGACGTTTTTTTTGTTTTTTTTTTTTTGTTTTTTTTTTTTGGGGGGGGGGGCTTTTTTATTTGTTTTTAGTTTGTTGGTTTGTTTTTGTTGTTGTTTTTTTACAAATATTGATAAGTGACTTAATTAAAATATCACTGACACGTTTTCGCAAAAGCTTTTAAACGTATACTACAATACACACGAGCCTGACCATTATAGTATAATACGTATAAAGTATTTGACACGTGCACGACATTATATAGTACGACGATACAATTATTATCATTTTATAGCAATATGTATCGATATAGTTGTGCTTGCGACTTCATCTGCAATTAATCATGTATAATACAGTACGACAGTAATACATGTATTAGATAAATGCGTGTAACATGCAGATAATTATATGTAAATGTACGAGGGTATACTTTGATATTTTTATATCGTTTTTATTGTATGATTGTTATACATTACAGGAAAACATGACACACAATGATTTGAGTACACAATAATCTTTAAATACATGTATATCTCGTATGTCTGAATTTATCTCGCTTCCTCATATTTATTTGAAACGGAAAACAACGCTCTAGTGAGAATAATAGGTTTGTGAAACTGATTCATGAAACACTTGAAGACACGTCGACCATTACTGTGTAACAAGCTAAGCCACCATATAATATCATAACATTTTCACATTATTCACTCGTCAAAAGAAAATTGTCTTATTTGAAATAGAATTAATAAAACTGGACAATTCACAGGTCACAATATAATTATAATTCCATCCAGCATCAGTTAGATAAAAAATGTGTGCAATCACAACAGACGCCATTAAAAACTTATAGATATTCAGTGATCTTAAATGCGATTTCTTTTCTTAAAAATAAATATTTGTTTTAATAAATTACAATTAAAAGGCTCATTAAGTAAAAAGTATGATATTATTTGTACTTCTCAAAAGCCGCGTTTACATGTATTATGTGCCCAAAACGGTTACCGTTGACAGTACCAGGATCATCTTTTGCTTTTTGAAAATTAGAAAATTTAGTGTGATTAACTACTTTGTTTGTAATTTTATGAATTTTTGCGATTAAAATTTACATACAATACTATTTTCTGGATGTGATTAATGCGAACAAGTCATTACTAAAACGTTATACATACACATGAACATGATTGATATTTTCAGAGGGAAATAATTTCTGAGGCTTAAGATCTTAAGTAGTTGTCTATTTTCCAATCTCATGTCGAGTTCATAACAAGTGGCATAAGTCATTTAACACACTTACTTCTATCGAGTTATATACATGTATATCAAAATCCGACATAAAATAAAATTTTATTTTTATCAAATTACATGTCACGAATCGTTGCCCCCTTCTCCCCACCCCCACACACGCACACATACACAAACACTACAATGCAATGACTTAAGAACAGTTTACCTTTCCAGCCATTTTAGTGTATATTCTTTACTCTGAATTTGGAGCAAAATAAGATTCCATGTGTATAGAATAAAACCAATATTAACATTAATCAGTTTTTATTCAAATATAAGGAAACAAATAATGAGTAATTGGCTGTTCCTGTATGTACGGAAGATGACTCTTCAATAATATCAATATTTACACAGTTAACTGTGTTACATTGACCAGCACATCATCATCAACATATTATTTGATCTTTTAAAGAATATTTTTATACATTTGTACAATGTGGACCACGTTTAACGGATATACGGACGACCAAAATTGTGCTTAGGTTAAACCATATGCGGTTTTCCGGTAGTACATGAGACAGAACGTGCCATTGAATGGCAAATTTTGGAATTTTTATGTACATAAATATATTTATATATTTATTTGATACAAATTCTAAAATTTCTTTCAATATTTCTATGTTTTCCTGCTTCTCTACTTTCTCTACAGAGCATCGATATACACGGTGTCAAGGGTATACGCATCATTTTTCCGCGTACCGTCGATAATTTATCATCCTGCGTGCAGCACCGTATCATTTTAGACAAAACAAACACTGAAACACAACATGCATGATAGAAAACGACCTGAAAGTCACCCTTTTGAAGTAAGTGTATTCATAAAAGTGGGTCTACGGAATATCATGATCATTGAAGCTTATGTCTTTACCTAGTTTTTATCAAAGACTTGTACGATTTCTTTGTTTTAATGAAAACAGCTAGAGCTGGCTTGGGGAAAATGACCATTTGGAAAACTTTTAAAAGGAGAAAATTATATTGTCAATCAAAATATTTATTTGATATAACTGTAAGCATCAAAGATATGCATACAAAAAATAGTGCACACAAATTTAAGCTATTTAATTTCTTAAAAAAGTCATAAAAGCGTGACAACTGACCGAGTTCTTGGTACCGCATCATGGGTCCGCACCGAAAATTGTGGCACCGTATACATTTGCACTAGACTTGCACCGCGTCATGATCATTAACCTAATGGTGAATAATTTTATTTGTATTTATTTATTGTTGCCCATCTGGGCGAAGCATGTAGATGTATATACGAATATTAATTACAAACCGGGGGAAAATGCATAAATACTAGTCAGTTCTAGAAGCAAACCTGGTTCTTTGTGTGTCCGGTGTAAACACATTGGACCACGGTCACATTCGAAAGAATCTGAGTATTTCGGTCGATTAGAACGACCTGAATGCAAATTTCTGACTTTATCATGCATGTAAAGAAACAAGTTTATAGTGAAAATGTTATGTATATTTAACACAAATATGCATATATATTGTTACCATTTTATACATACTCTTTGAGATCGTGCTTACGGAGAGAATTCTAAAAAAATTCAAGCTTCCTACTCAATCCGTGCAATTAAATATTTGTCAATTATCATGTAAATGAAATGTTCATAAATAAAATATTGTTTTAACTAAAGAATTTGAGTAAATACATTGGAAGAGTAAGGAATCGAAGCCGAGACTTCAAAACTGAAACGGCGGACTTTGAATTATGGCATCGCTTGTCGAGGCGCCATGTTTCCTTGAGCAAAAATCTTAAATTGTTGTGGTTAAAGTTATCTTTAAGTTTTATGATAGTCTATCAATAACTGGAACAAAAAGGAGAAATACAAGCATGCCGACACAAATATGTAATGGATACAGTACGCGTTTTCCTTCAATATTGTCTTCTTACAGACATAAGAAGACAATTTTGAAGAAAATACGAGTAAAGCCTAGGTCACAAATAAGAAAATGCCGCCGGGCGGCGTCTGTTTCTCCAAAAAATCGCAATATCGGCCGGCGTCCGTCCGGCGGCAGTGACTATCGGACGGCAGCAGCTGAATATTTTGCTCATCGGGCGGGCGCCTTCGAGTTTTAAGTAATACTTAAAAGCTAACGGCGGCCGGACGATAATTTTTGGGGTCACTGAGTATATCATCGAGCGGACATCGTTCGGTCGCCGGGCGGCGACCGGGCGATGGTTTTTTTGATCGGGCGATTTTTTGTTCTACTAAAACAGCGTCCGATTTAAAAGGCGTCCGGGCAGACATCGGCCGGGCCCCGCCCGGTGCCTGAATAAAGCTAAGTAGTCAAACGATTATCGCCCGGTACCCGGACGATTCATGTACAGGCACCGGGCGGTCATCGTTTTCATTAATTGCCTCAAAAATATATTTGTGAATTTCTTTTGAATACTGGTAAACATGAATTTTTTCTTCAATGTCCATGCGAATGTCTGATTGATTTTCGCCTTCTACGGCCTCGATACTGGCCGTTGGTGACTCCCCTTGGCTTTGGCAGCTGACTTCTTTGCTGGCATAATTACAACTGCCTGATTTATCTAGGATGTCATTAAATGTAAAGTCATTGTCGCCCGGCGCCCGCGCGGCAACCGTCCGATTCACTTTTAAATCGCACAGGCGCCGTACGGACATCGGGCGGTGACCGCCCGATCCTTTCAATTCTTTCTGTAAAATCCATCCGGCAAAAATCGCCCGACGACTGTTTAATTCATGACCACGCAAGGTATCAGATTTAAAATCGCCCGGCGTCCACGACATCAAAAAATCTGCCGATTTTATAAAAATCGTTTAATCGGACGGCGCCCGTTTTATTTGTGACCTAGGCATTATAACGGTATCTGACTTATACGACGTTTAATTGTAAAGAACCGATAAATTAATAAACACATTTAATTATAAATACATCTATGTATGTTCACGTTGAAAATATAAAACTATAGAAAATATTTGCAAGGCTTTTATAAGCTTTGGGCAGTGAAAGGTGTAGGTAAATTGTATTCGCACGGAACTTTCGTGCACTTAGTCAATCGGACATAATTCACTTTCATTTATGATAAACAATGTTTCAATGGCTGTAACAGAATGTGGGTACAGTTAATGTCAAGTTAATGTTGTTTTTTATAGAATGTCAGACGATATAAAAAACTGTTTTGTACCATCTTCCAACGAACAATGTTAGTTTCGTCAATGCTAAAATCAACAGTTACTTTGGTTCTGGAAATGGCCATCCAATTTCTCGATAAACTAAATACTAGTATTCTCGTGAGATGAGCACTACTTTCCATCGGTTTCTATAGTGTCCTGTTTGAGACAGTGAAATATCGCCTGTTAAGATTGACTTAATCTCTAGTTTAAGTGAATTCAATGTTGAATGGCGCAAAAAGTATTTTGTGAGAATGTAAAATCTTGCTACTTTATCTATAAAAATACAGAAAGGCGGACAAAACTTTACGAAAAAATCGAGCATATCAATAGCAGTTCTTTAATTCTCCCAAGAAGGACACTGTATATTTCAACTGCACTAAATCCATGTCGAAAGTAACAGTTATCTTACTATTGTGGCTGATTTGGAACACTTTTGTGCGTCGTGTTGGCGCTAGCCAAACGGCGCGTTGTCGGATTTTCGTCTTGTCCTGTCGCTAACGATGTACTCCAAACGGCACGTTGTCGTGCGGCGTGTTGTCGCGATGTCATATTGTCGCTCGGTTCAAATCGAAGGATTGGCTTAATATAAGCCAAGGGACAGGGCGACATCGCGACAACACGCCGCATGACACGCTGCATGACAACGCGCCGTTTGGCTAGCGCTTCGTTACAGACAAGACGACAAGAAAAGAGCGAGACAACACGCCATTTGGGGCTTTTTCGGGTTATTGCTATCAACAAGACGAAAAGTTGCTATCGACAACGCAACGCGCAATGTACCAAATCAGCCACCATATCTTACAGACGTGAGAATACACTTTTTGAATAGCTCTGCTGGTGGGGGCGGGGGATTATAGTCGTATAATAATACAGGGAGGATAACTCAAGCACATTATGGTGACTGATTTGGTACGCTTTTGCGCGTCTAGTTTGCGCTAGCGACAACACGACAAAGCACCAAACGGCGCGTTGTCCTACTTTCGTCTTGTGGTCCTGTCGCTAGCGACAACACGACAAAGCGCCAAACGGCGAACTGTCGTCTTGTGGTCCTGTCTCTAGCGCGGCACACCAAAATGTGCGTTTTTGTGCGGCGCGATGTCGCCCTTTCGCTGGCTTATAGGCCAATCCTTCAATTTGAACCGAGCGACAATGTGACATCCCGACAACACGCCGCACGACAACGCGCCGTTTGGCGTGCCGCGCTAGAAAAAGGACAGCAAGACGACAGCGTGACAACGCACCTTTTGGTGCTTTGTCGTATTGTCGCTAGCGACAAGACGAAAAGGCGTTACGTGCCCAGTCAAAAAGTAACTAAAATCCAAATGTAAAAAAGAAATACTATTTTAGAAAGATGAGCTTTGACTTGCTTGTGTGTTGTATTAACGAATTAGACAAAAATTTCAATTACTGATATCTGCAAATATTATGCAATTCCCTTGTCCAAAGAAAAGTTTAACTTCACAACAGACATAAAATGCAACTGCAACGAAAGCATAGAGAATTTTAACAAGAAATTATCTTTAAAAAAACTATATAGGTCCAGATTGCTTCCAGGCCCAGGTAATCCACTGTCCCGCTTACCCTAACCGATAACCAACATCTACCTCTTCTTGTCAATCCTACATTAAAAAAAAAATAACAATACCCCCCCCCCCCACAACAAAAAAACAACAACAAAAAACCGGTTAAACATATTTTAAAGTATATGTATGCAGTATTACCGCGCAAAAAGAAGCGGTGCCATGGTTCTGCATGATGCGGTACCATGTTTATCAACGTTTTCTTGATTTTACAACATTATTTTGCATTATTTGTATAAAATTGGTATGTTATCAGCTCGGGCCAATGCTTTTTGTGATAATTTGACATATGATACTTCTTCCGACAGCTTTACTTTCCGAAAAGGATGAAAAATGTTCGCATCAAGAACACAATTGTTTCACACGTATAAAAGTGTTTTCATTAGTTTCAGGTTATAATAGACAAATATTGTTATAGATGAATCATTCAAAACTTCCGTGGTGTATGCAAACTCTCAAAATAAAATCAATATTAGTAAGAAATTTTGGCATTTTTGAATTGACCTCTTGCACTTTTCAGAATATTACGTAAGAATGATACGGTGTTGCGCGCAGGATGATAAATTATCGGCGGTACGCGGAAAAATGATGCGTATACCCTTGACACCGTGATATAATATTATTGTCAACACACAGTTACCATGTTCCTACATTCAATTTTCTTTTGTCAGCAAACAATTTTACAATATGTTTCAATTTTATTCTTTAGGTAGAATAACCGGACCCAGGACCAGTGGTTGTGCACAGGTATGGTGACTCTAGTCATACTGTAATGCTTTCCCGCCAACATATCCTAACAATGGCCAATATCGTAAAAAATCGGACATTTCCGGAACGATATTTTTCGCAATATTCGGTATTACCGTTTATACCCGGAATTTAGTACATGGTGATAAAGGATAAGTGATCGTTAATAATTTAATGCCCAAGATTTTGGAAAAACACACACACACACGCGCGCGCACGCTCACGCGCGCGCACACACACACACACAAACAACAACAATGTTGCGGAAATAACCGATTTGCTACGATATTGGCCGATGTTAGAATTTCTTTGGACCAGTCTCAAATTTTTCAAGCATTTGAGAAGCCACTGATTAATATGGCTTCCAGTAAATCTTTGGATCTCGTCGGTAAATTTAATATAGAGTTTAAACATTTTACTGTGTTCACGTGCCATATATGTAAACAGGTCCGTACAGTTTGAATACATGGAATAGGGAGGTCGCTTTTTTCTCAAGCCTTTGTGAAAGATGAAGCAAAGTTTTAATTTTGTGAAACTTTGGTGTGGTACTTAGACAAGAAACATACAAATAAGCTTGAATATCACGAAATTGTTGAACAAAATACGGTGGCACAGGGGTGACATGTGTGTGTATTTTATTTTTCTCTTGACCACGACATAGTATCTCATGCGCACCACTCTATCATCCCGTGCGCACGACTTAGTAACTCGTGGACACAACATAGTATCTCGTGCGCACCACTTAATTATCTCATGGCACGACTTAGTAACTCATTTCCACGACATATCTCGTGCGCACCACTTAGTAACTTGTGGCCACGACATATTATCTTGTGCGCACCACTTAATTAGCTCGTGCGCACGACTTAGTAACTCATGGCCACAATATAGTATCTCGTGCGCACTAGATAAATAAAAAGACATACATTTCACCTCTGTGCCTAAAGTTATCACCCTAATTTCAGGTTACCTTTGGGACGGATTTTTCCGATATGAACTGCAAAACATGACATATGTTATCAATTTTATGCCCTAGTTTAAAGCTACCCGGAGGATAATGGGGTAAATCAAGTTATTTTAGTACAAATATGGAATATTTTATTTGAACCTTCCTTTTCAGTTAATCAAAATAGCTAGGCCTATATATTATACATTGTATATTCTATAGGCCCTATCGCCATTACATTTTTAATGTGTGCATATACATGTATAATCATTGCTGGATGACTTAAAATTTAAATAAAACATCTTATTGTAAATATTCTTAAATATGAATCGCAAGTAAAATGTTTGCTTGAGTGCCAAATAAAATATCTTCATTAATGATTAATTTTTCATAAAAAATCACGTTACATTAGTATCTTTCAAAATAGCATTTGTCATCTTAATTATGAATTTGGCACGAATACGAAAAATGTTCAATCATTTTTACTACGGTTTAAATTTCAGTTTATGTTTCGATTGCCTGGGAAGACGGATATCCGTCTTCGTATTCCCGTTTTTTTTCCTCTCAAAATAGTCTTGTTTACATCAGGATGATATCATGACCGGGTAAAACTATATAGCCGTGTTATCTATAGGCCCTATCCCTGTTTGAACCGAAATACGTGACTCACGTTGACTTTTCCGAAGTTTGGCGGTTAGGGACGATAAGAATTCGGAGAGAGAAAAACCCGTTTCGTTAGCTTGTGTCGAAGTTTGACGGAAATGGCCGATTTGGACTTCCAAGGTCGTTTAAGGGTGTGTGTATCAAAACCAATCAAAATGACTGCGTGGATTGATAGGCCAATAGGAAACAGTGGGAAAATTAAGGTCAAGGTCGGACATTAACGTTATACTTTTAGCCTTTTGGACGTGTCTTGGTAAACAAGTTGATAACGTAAGCTTAAACTCTTTTATTTTGCCAAAGTCGAGATTGTGAACAAGATGAGTTCCCAGGCACCAGCTATCGATACGAGTCCAATAACGCTGACCAGGTTTCTCCTAGAAGAGCAGCGGAAAGTGGTTGGGGCGACTGGAGATTTCACAGCGTTGATGAATTCAGTGCAAACCGCTGTGAAGGCCGTGTCATCAGCAGTTAGGAAAGCTGGCATTCATAAATTGTAAGTGTCACGACTTTTATCGTTATTTTATTGATTCACATTTTGTCCATGAGTTATTAGTAATATTAATATTATAGTAATAATAAGATGCATATATATTGAAACAAAAAAGAAATTTTCTCCAAGTTTGAATCATTCAATGAAATTATGTAGATATGTTAGTACAGTTTTTCAATCCTTTTGAAACTCGATTTTTACGTTGAATAAACATATCGGGCTTTTATATGGGGATTAGCTGACCGATATTGCAAACAAAACCAATTTTACAAGCTAGGCTACTACATGTATATAAGTGTGTACATCTAAGTGGTACCCTTGAACAACTGGCACATACTTTGTGAAAGTTTCTTTTTTGGTTCAGTATATAATTTTTATGCCCCCCCCCCCCCCCGGGAGGCATATTGAAAATCTGTCTGTTCGTCTGTCTGTGCATCCCCACTTCATTCATGTCCGGACTGTTACTTTGTCATACATTGAGGGATTTTGAAATAACTCGGCACAAATGTCTACTACATCAAGACGATGTGTCACGTCTAAGAACCTCGTCCCTACCTCAAAGGTCAAGGTCACACTATCATTTTGAAGTTTCACATTATCGCAATTAAAGTAAATAGGTACACACATTCGTGTCCGGACTGTAACTTTGTCATGCATCAAATGATTTTAAAATAACTAAGCATAAATGTCAACTACATCAAGACGATGTGTCGCATCAAAGAATTTCGTCCCTACTGGTTGGAGACCACCAAAACCGGACAACCAACAAACCCGGACGGCCGTAAAAATTCATGTCTAGGTTTTTTTATTTGTTCAGTTGTTCAGCTGCTTTTATACAACTGTAACTGCATGTTTGTTCTGTAATTAAGTAAGTAAATTTATTTCAATTTTCGTAAACGGTAATATTTTAATGTCTTTTTCAAGAACGTTGACATTGAAAATTAAGACGTCAAGAGTGCAATACCTGACCTCTTATGCTATCTATAATCATTTGCAGAGTGAATAACAGAATATCCAAAACTTCAGCATTTGCTGCTGAAATATTTTATATCATGTTAAAAATACAAAATTAAAGCACCAAATCTTTTATTGAATTGAATCAGCATCATGGACATATCTGTCCTGACACATGGTACTGATGTGTGGACAATTTAGTTAATTTTGATACCCTCCTTCACAGGCCTCAGATATAAATATCAAAATAACTAGAAATAAACAAACTAATCCATTAGTTAGGAGAAGAACCTAGCTGTACTGTGTCAAATTTTCAGATGTCTAGCTTTAAAATTATAAAATATGTATGTAAAAATGTTAAATAAGTGTCCAGTTTGTGGTCTCTGACCAGTACCTGAAAGGTCAAGGTCACACTAACATTTTGAAGTTTCACATTATCACAGTTAGAATTACACACACATTTGTGTCCAGATTATAACTTTGTCATGCATAGAAGGATTTTAAAATAACTTGGCATAAATGTCTACCACATCAAGACGATGTGTCGTGTTCAATAATCATGTCCCTACCTCAAAGGTCGAGGTCACACTACCATTTTGAAGTTCACTTTATCACAATTAGAGTTTATAGGTACACACATTTGTGTCCGGACTGTAACTTTGTCATGCATCGAAGGATTTTAAAATAACTAGGCATAAATGTCTACTTCATCAAGACAACATGTTGCGACTAAGACCCATGTCCCTACCTTCAAGGTCAAGGTCACACTTATAGTTTGAAGGTACTCATTCTCTCGAGAAGAGTTTGAAGAGACAGATTCATGTCCGGACTGTAACTTTGTCATGCATGGAAGGATTTTTAAATAACTTGGCACAAATGTCTACCACAACAAGACAATGGGGCCCAGCTAAGGCTCATTTCCTTCTGTCCCAACTTGCACAACAATCATGTCCAGACTGTAGCTTTGTCATGCATTGAGGGATTTTGAAATAACTCGGCACATAACAACATTCTGTCGCGTCCACGAACCACATCCCTTCTTCCAAGGTCAAGGTCACAATTATATTTTGAAGGTTCATGCTATCACAATTAGAGATTACAGGTACAGTAATACAAGGAACAATATTAAGCAATTAGTTACTTTCATTTTCTTTTCTTTTCATAATACCTGCATGTTTAAAAAACCGAGGGCATTTGTCAGTAGGGTGACAGCTCTTGTTTTCATCAGCTTTTATGCTGTACAAAACTTATTACTTCTGGATTTACAGTTTTTTACCCCAAGCTTGCAGTAAGGTACCAATTAATCCTGCAACCTTGCATTCAAATTGCATTATAAGAAGAAGTAGTCTGGACAAACATTAAAAAAAAGATAATGGGCTATAACTCATTGAACTGGAAAATGCTGACAGTACGCACAAATGTATAGATCATGTAAAGTTTAGATAAAAATGCATCAGAAGTTTATGAGGAGTAGTTCGGATAAGTTTTGTGACAGACAGTTGCTACAGTCATGTTGTCCATTGCCATTGCAGTTCATTCTTGGACAAAAGAACACATAAAACAAAACCAACATGATGATTAATTCATAATTATGTATCTTTGACCTATAACCTTGACTGTCAAGGTGAAATATGAAATTTGAATTTTATTTGTTACAAAAAAATAATGTGTTGTACGAGTACTCTTTACTATAATATTCTTCCTCTTTTGACTTTAGAAATAAGTGAAAGTCAAGCATAGCATATGCTAGGCGATTGCTCTAATGTTTGCTTGACATTTTCAAATAAAAAAGAGCTGTTGTTACAGTCATATTGTTGTTTCTGTTATGTTGGTTGTATTCTTACTTTCTCAATATTACAGAAAATGCTCAAATATCCATACAGTCAATTTTCATTTCTAACAAAATGTCCAATCAACTCTCATTGAACTGCATTATTGACTATCATCAGGTGACACATGTGATCATTGATCGCTCTTTCTTTTAGCTGTACCACTGGTTCTGTTACTTAAAGTAATGTAAGTAAACATGTTGGCTTGCTTAACATATCTGAGATTATTATATGGGAAAAGTACGGACAGACATACAATGCCAGTGTTTTAAAACCAAAAGAAAAACAACATTTCATCATCACATGAATCAAAAAGATAAAAGTAATACAGACTGCCAGCATACATTTAGAAACACCCAATATACTCAAGAGGCTATGCATTTTAGTGTTTCATATTTGGAACAAATACATCTTGGATGGTCCTAACATTGTAAGGTCAAGGGCACTGATGCTTAAAATAGATTTTTGCACTTTGATTCATACATCAGATATTTATTGACCAATGTCTTTTTGACATATTTGATAGGTGGATACAACATTGTGTAAACAGAGTAACAAAGTGCTACATGATAATAGCAGTTGATCTAGTTGGTGCACAAATACTGAGATTATACAATAAAATATTTAGCATCTTTATTTGACCTGTTTATAAATCTTCAACAACACAATCAAAATTAATGTCTTTTCCTTAATAATTAACACATTGACTTTAAAAGGCAGAGGCAGTGCTTATGTTGCTTGTTTTTGTTAATGGTGCATTTGTTGAATGATAAGACACACTGTTACTTAATTAGTATATTTTGGTGAAAATGTTTTTACTCTTTGTTCATAAAGATATGGCATTTCTGGTGTTACCAATGTTACCGGTGATGAGCAGAAAAAGC